ATACATGAAATTTGAGTGAGCAATCAAAACCTTTCCTAGCATATCATCACCTAACCAAAGCCAGTATGGTGTAAGATTCTGGCTTTACCTGACCAAATTGACAGTCATATATTGTTGACAATTGGTTGGTTGTTTGTTTAATTAGTTAATTAGTGTTCAATTTATAAAGAACATTTAACATTGTCTGGTCTAATAGCATCAGAATATTACAGATATAATAGCTTGGTGAAGGGTTAAAATATTTGCAGATCTCCAGATTTTATTCACACCAAAACCTCATTTATTCCGATTGATTTGTGCTTCATATAAAATTCCTCTCTTCTGCAGAAGTGGAGAATTATTTTTTATCAAACATGTGACACTGTACTTTTAATTGAGAATATGGGCCTAAATTCCTTGTCTAGCATGTATAGAAGGCACCTTTCAAAGACCTATATTTGCAGTCTTTATTTTTAGATGTCAAAGAAGATGAACTTGATCTTTGAGACTGCTGACCTAGCAGAGGCTTCACCATCAACCGTATCCCGTTGTGGCATGATTTACTTCGAACCAAGTCAGTTGGGTTGGCAGGCTCTCCATGCTTCTTATTGCAGTGTACTTAAGGAGAAAGTGATACCAGAACAGCTAGAGTTACTTGATAAATTGATACAATGGCTGGTGCCTGCCATCTTAAAATTTGTCATGCACCCACCTTGCAAACTCTTTGTTGTAACTTCAGAACTTCATCTTTATAATGTAAGTAACTTAGATCATAGTTTTAAAAATTCTTCAAGTTTTTTAAATTACAGTTGTGATGAAACTTCAAACATGCCCATAAATTGAAATTGCAGTAAAATTTCAGAGTAATGCAGTTTTAATGCATTCTGTACACAAAATGCATAAACTGAATTAAGAAGCTGATGGATGCCTTATTGCCAGTAAAATGTTTGCATTAAGATAATTACAACATTTAACACTTCCACTCATATGAACCCCTTCAGAAATGCTACAAGACATAATCAAATAGACATTTTTAAGACAGTTACAAGTCTGTCTTGCATATTTTTTTTTGCTGCTAGTGGGGTGGGGTTAAGTCCCTTGTACTGCGGCCACTTCTGGCCTGTTGTAACAGCCCCAGATGATAGGTAAGGGTGGTTGTGGAGCAATTGGTAGAATGAAGATTGGCAGGGGAAACCGAAGTACTTGGAGAAAACCTGCCCCAGTGCCACTTTGTCCACCACAAATCCCACATGACCAGACCTGGGATTGAACCTGGGCCGCCACGGTGGGAAGCCAGCGACTAACCACTTGAGCTATGGTCCGGCCCTGTCTTACATAACACAGCCTTAGGTGTTAAGTTGACAAGGCAGGATAGGAAACATCTATCTCAATTCATCATTGACTTCAGCATTTTATTAATTTTAAATTTCTTATACATTTACAAGTAAATGTAAGATGAATGACTCGAACAATTTAAAATATTTTATGTAAATTATGTAAAGTTTCATTTAGTACTGGTTTCCCTTGAAAATGGACAGTTAAGACTGAAACATGCTTGGCTGTAAGATTATGTATTCTTATACAACTGATGGTAATTTTACACTTATCTGAATGTGGAATTGAGAACCATTTTGCATTAAGCTCCTCAGAAACTTCATCAGTTTCCTAAAAAATTATTTATTATACAAAAATTTATAGAATATAGTTTAATTAAGGTCTGAAACTTATGTTTGAAACATTTTCCAGTGTGGTGGATATTTAGCATTTAATGTATGTTTAGATTCCACAGCACATGAGAAGTATCTAGGACAGCTAAAGATGACTCCTCAGCCTCTCAAGAAAGACTATGTTCCTTGTAGATATGTAAATGAATGGGATGATTATCAGTTAAAAACACATAAGCCGGCACACCATAGGTAGTATTTTAACCTGCCATTCTAACATTTCCTCTGCCTATTTACGTGTTTTAAACAGTGATACTCAGGCTATGGCCCTCAAGCAAGCAATGGCCAATGAAATTTTCACTCAGGCCAAGGTGATTCCCTCATATCAATAATGTGGTAAAGGTAAAATTGAAGTTGTTCTTATACTTAATTAAGCACCGTGAAAAGAATACATGGTAGAATATAGGTCAGTGTGATTGTTATACAGCTATTTAACAGTTTTAATGGTGGAATTTTTCCTGCAAGACTGTGGTCACTTCTAATTAGACCCGTCTAGGCTTTTCAACCTCATATTTGCTGTTTGAGGTGTTTCACTCTGTTAAACTGTTTGTTGAATGCTGATAATACCAATATGTATGTAAAGCTTTGTTTCTGGTTTTTCTGGCACCAAATCAGAAAGAAGAATTCTGCCTATTGAAATAAAATGCCATTATGTATGAAATTTTAATATTGAAAAAATCATATGTCAATTTGAAAATAATTAAGATGTTATATTCAAAGTCTGCCTGTTGTGTTACAGTCCTTCTCCTTGTTACTAACTTCCATGTTGGAAGGGGAAACCCAAGTCAGCACTGTGTGGTTGCAATGCATACTTGTTTTCTGTCTGTTGTGGGGTTTTGGAGCTACCATGACAGGTGAAGTATGGGTTAATAATGTCTTCTTTTCTTATATCTTGTTTATAATTTCCCCCCTTCTCTTCTTGTCAGTGAGCTTTGAAATCATCTTCATAATTTCTGATCTGTGCAAAGGAATGCCTCAATAAATGTGACCTATATCTCATACCACTGTCTCATTAAAGTACACCGTTAGAACAAGTTGTTACATACAAAGCTCTCAAAGATTACAAAATTGTGTACAAATTATGAATCAGACAAACACAATATCATGAGCATATATTTTCTCTAGTTCCTCTTATAAATTTCTTCTGAAATTCTAGTTAATCATACATAACTGTTCATGAATATCTTTATTCTACAGTCTGCCTAAAATTGTAGCAGTCTTATTGCTTTTCAACACATACAGTGGAATGCATTGGCTTAAATTTTAATTTAATGAACCCAGTTGGAATGAAGTTGGTTATCTGATGTATTCTTAGCATTAACAGATATTTTCATGTGCCTCTCATCCACTTTTTCCAAAATTCTAAATGCTTCAAAATTTCTTGCATCAACCACTGTCATTTTTACAGAATGAACATATGATAGTAAACTTGAATGTAAATACATAAACTGGGGTTTCAACTATTGCAGGTTTAAGCAGAAAAATGTTTGATACATTTTATAGAGCATTGCTTAGTGGGCAAAATGCAGACTACCCAAAGCCCAAAGTATTCAAGTTAGCCAGAAACCAGCTCTTTCCTGAACGTGCTCTTGTCTTTGAATGGATTTATGACAAGAAAAATAATGGTACCTGGATTCCATGGACAGATATTGTGGATAAGGCACAGATTCAGTTGGCGCCAACTGCCAAGGTTAGTCAGATTTGCATGGTAGGTGACCCATATTGTCACAGGGTTGAATATTCTATTTCATTTATTCCCTATACACTATTTTCAGTTTTTGCATTTTGTTATATTTTAGAAGAAAACTGCATAATGAGGAGCTTCATAACTTGTACTCTTCTCCAAGTTTAATTAGAATGATCAAGTCAAGGAGGATGAGGTGGGCAGGGCATGTGGCACAAATGGGGGAGACGAATGCATATAGGATATTGGTGGGAAAGCCAAAAGGAAAGAGACCACTGGGAAGACCAAGGTATAGGTGGGTGGACAGTATTAAAATGGATCTTAGAGAGATAGGATGGGATGGTATGGATTGGATTGATCTGGTTCAGGGTAGGGACCAGTGGAGGGCTCTTATGAACATGATAATGAACCTTCGAGTTCCATAAAATGCTGGGAAATTCTTGAGTAGCTGCAGAATTGGTGGATCCTCCAGAAGGGCCGAGCTCCATAAGTACGTACGTACATGATATTTTAGACATAAATTGCATTTCTGGAGAAATAAGCAAGATGTTAAATAACAAAGTCATGTTTATAGTAGAGATGTTGAATATTGTGAGAGATAACATCTTATGTGTTCAATACATTTGAAATTTCACTATTAGAAAGGATTGCCTATTGAGAATTTAACCCTAGCTGTCTATTCCTTTGACCATGTTCTTACTGAGTGAGCATTATATCTCATATAGTAGGATTTGTTACAGGAGGTCTTTAATTTAATGTAGAGTGGTGAACTGAATTTAGCTGGCATATGACAGGGTTCATTGTCAGGTTTTGTGAGTGATAGTAAAAACTTTTTAGCTTGATAACAACAAGGAATTTCTTCAGTGCCTACTATTGCTAAAGGGTGCATTATATTTTCTAGAAGATGGATACATGTTATACCAAACTGTACACTGTAAACTTACAAAACACTGCACTATATTTGGCTTCAGTATATGTCTTCTGAAGTTCATCAGTTTTATACTGTGAAGCATGATTATTTTTATTTTAGAGATAGTGTGAATCCTAAGGATCATACCAGCACACTAAACTCAGAGCTACCATAGCGATACAAATTTGTACTCTAACCATAGGATGTTTACCAGTAGGACCATCTTAGTGGCACCAGCATGTCTGTTAACTACTGAACCAACAAACCTAAAATTGAAATGGAGCTGATTTGTATTATGGCTATTGCCACTGCTCTTTAAAATAAAAGGAAATAAAAAATATGTCAACATAAACGTGACCATTCACCTGAAGGCAGGAGAAGAGCCAACTCCCAAAGCACTGTGTAAATCAAATATGCCTCATAGAGTGGAGAGTATCCAGTATGACTGTGATGCAGTAGGTCAGTTATCATCAACCTTTAGAGAATTAAGCATCCCTGATCCATATTTCAGAAATGAATGTTTTGGATTTGACCATCATCTATTGACTGGAAGACTTTGTTTATCCCCAAACAAAATAATAGCTTCATTAGCCATGAAATATTTCATATCTGTGCAGGTGACTGAGCTTATCATCCAGACAACTGAATCAGCATGTCAGTCATTCTTCTTGAAGATGATGTTAGAAGCAAAGATTCCTATTTTATTTGTTGGTCCAACTGGAACGGGCAAATCTGCAGTTGTTCTCAACTATCTCATGAATCTCCCTAGAGATAAATTTCTCCCCAGTGTGGTCAGCTTCTCTGCTCAAATATCAGCAAACCAGACACAAGAAAGTATCATGTCTAAATTAGACAGGTATGTTACACTATCAGCATTCAACAAATATATGAGTACAATTAAAAATACACTTCAGCATTATATGGGACAAGTTATTATGACTATAAAAACATGAAAACAAAATGTGCAGTGCTATAAACCTACATAAAATCCAGCCAGAATCTTTTTCCTTCTGATTGTCATATAAGAACTACAGCTGTTGTTTGATATAGGAAAAATATCAATTTCCAGTTTCATTTCATTGCTTGGCAATCATGTAATGTGTGTATGCATATATATATATATATATGCATATATAAAAAACTTTAAAGTCCACAACTGTTTCATTGCTTGTTAACTGTTTAGTGGATGAGGAAATCGCTGTACAATGCCATGGCAATAAATATTATAATATTGTTCAGTGGACATATATTCATATGACTGTTATAATAAATAAGTAGTTTCATATTTTCATCAAAATTCATCTTAAGAAAATCTGGCCATACAATTTGCACTTTCTCTAGTTCTATATATAATTTTTCATTGCTGTGTAATTTATGTTGTTAAAGTGTTTTCATATAGTTTCCAGCAACAGGTGAGCAAGCTTTAGTCAAATGCACATTCCTGGTTAAGCTGCTGAAGATAGTATTAATTGTTGGCCACTTTTATGTTAAGTTCATTTTATAATTTTACCAAATGCTAAACAGTTTCTCATTCTGTTATATGATATTTCAGCATCCCGCTGTATTGAGGCATCATTCTATTTTACTAACGTATTCGTCGATAATAGAACTTTAAAAAGTCATTAGGAATATGTTGTTCACTAAGAATGCATTTTAACACTTTGCGGACCAGCAATATAAATAATCACCAAAATGAGGCCTGTGTGGGGTGGGAGTAGACGGCCCCGGTCGTACTAAGACTGTGTCTGCCACGGGTTCTGCCGCCACCGTGTGGTCTGTAGCCCAGGCTTTTGCCACATTCAGCTGAAATGCCTTGTATTTCAATTTTGAATGAGGGTTTAGATTTTTGAAAACCAAAAATGAATTGAAAATGGCACAGTTTATAAGCCACAAGGCAACTTTCTTTGTCCACTTTACTGTTTTCCGAGGAAGAGAATAATAGGCCAAGTACTAATCGGCTCTATCAACTCCCTTCATGAAAATATTATACTCGGAAATACAAACAGGCTTCTTTACCTGTCCATGTCTCCTTTGAACATCAACCATGCTCGAATTGTGAATTGTGGAAAAACAGTTCCGCTACTTCAGACACTTGCGTTGGGTTCGATGAAATTTGCTTCACCCCTGGATTTCCAGTAAACTGTCCCAAAGCAGGTGTTTTGTCTAATTTTCCCCATGTGGCTGTCCCCGCACTGTTGCTACCCGCACTTTCGTCGGAGCTACTGTCACTTTCACTGTCTGTGGCCACAATTTTTTGTTCACCCCTGCCACACTCACTCTCAGATTGTGATTCACTATCACTAGCAGACTCACAAGGGACGTCAGATAGCTCATCGGAGAACAAGTCAGATATTTCTTGTTCTCCGAGAAAACGCTTGGACCTCAACCTCTTCCGACCTTGATCCATTTTGTACTAGTAACTTCCTGCCTGGTGCATGCAGCTGGAAGATGAACAAAGGCATTTTCTTTTGGAGTGAGAAAGGAAAACAGTTGGGTCAGAAACAGCGGGGTCATGTTACTGACCACGAAGCAAACATTCAAGAGGTCCATCATGCACCAGTTATGCGTCTGCCTGGCACCAGTGCAAGGTATAGTGTGTTTCAACATAACATGTCCTAAAGTCATAATAATATGCCACTGGTCCACCACGTTTAAAAGCGCTGGGCATAAAAATATGCCACCGGTCCGCAAATTGTTAATACTGTGATAGTTCAAATGCCCGTAGGCCTTTACATAGTACACAAATTGCACATTATTTGAGCATGGACCTGAACAGGATACAGGATCAAAAATAAGTGGAAAAACGAACGTGATTGCGTGTGATTGTGCAACTGTGTTCGTACACCTGAGGATGACCTCTTGAGGACGAAACATGTAGTGTGACAGTAAATAAAAAACGTGTTGTGTGGTCGGTAAAATTAACTCTAATATTCATTTAACACACAACAGGATGCAAGGAACAATTAAATTTAAAAATGAATGTTCACACTCCTCAAACTGTCTTGTTTTACATGTATTTTTACATGGTAGGCCACAATGGGGACACTGAAATAAGGAAGCACAACGACAAACTGATAACAGCCGCAAAATAGCTGGATAAAAATGAAATTTAACTTCTAGCATGAAGTAAAATAACGATATGCACGAGAGAAGCATGAGAAACAAATACAGTGCAGTGGTCTCACTCGAGGATAGAATTCACCTGATGATGGCCCGATGAGGCCGAAACATGTTGTGAATATAAAATTAGTAAAAATACATGTAAAACCAAGACAGTTTGAGGAGTTTGAACATTCACTTTTAATGTGTAAATATGTGTACTACATAAAGGCATACGGGCATTTTATTGATTTGAACTATCAGTATTAAAATGCATTTTTAGTGAACAACATATTCCTAATGTCTTTTTAAAGTTGTATTATTGACAGATACGTTAGTAAAATAATTTCTCATTCTGTTAATAGTACATAATTACTTCTGTTGTTTAGTGCATTTGCATTCAGTCAGGCTCTTCACCAAGTTGCTAATTCTCTGTAAAACTTCATTCACAGGATAATTATGAAAACAACTGACATGTTGAGAAGATTGTACTTATAGCCAGCTCCTAAGCTAAGATTGCAGTGTTATGCATTCATTTCAACAAATCATTAAACAGTAATATTATTGTGTATAATATAGGAAGTCAGGATAGCATAGTCAGTATGGCAACTGGCTATGGGCTAGACAACAGGGGTCAGATTTGAGTCCCGGTAGGGTCAAGAATTTTCTCTTCTTTGCATCACCCAGACCAGCTCTGGGGCCCACCCAACCTCCTAACATAATGGGTACTGTGGGCTCTTTCCCCGGGGGTAAAGTGGCTAGGGTGTGAAGCTGACCATTCACCTCCAACTAATGCTGGGGTCAAGAAAATATGACTCTATAAATCCACTCCATACACTTTCATGTCATGATGCTTAACTAGTTAAGCACAAGGACAGCTTTACCTTTTACCTTTTTTTACTTTTATCATATAAGGAACTTAATAATTCAGACATTCAGACAAGTATACCTTTCGTTAAATGTGTAGATTTCCATCTTTTCATTAGTAGGTATAGCACAGGGTCATCATTCTTGTCCTTTGCAGGCGCAGGAGAGGAGTCTATGGTCCCTCTATGGGAAAACAGTGTGTGCTGTTTGTGGATGACCTCAGTATGCCACAGAAGGAAATTTATGGTGCTCAGCCGCCAGTTGAATTGCTGAGACAGTGGATTGATCATGGACATTGGTTTGATCTCAGAGATAAATCAAAATTGGAACTTGTTGATATTGTAAGCGCAATAAACGTTTGTTGTTAAAGAGCACTTAAATTAACCTAAATTTTGTTTTTGCAAATGTTTGATCCTCAAAAAAGACTTTAATGATTTCAGAGTGTGAAATTTAGAAATAAATTACAGTTAAAATTAATAAAATCAGTTAGTTATTTTTCTTTGTTCTTATGACAATTTTCTCAGCTACAACACAGAATGGTTTATCATGTCCAGCAGAGGATATCTACGTCAATGAATTCTATAAATTCTTGTCTGCAACATTTTGAATCTGATGACAAACAATATTTTCTAAAAATTGAGTATAGTTTTTGAAAAATTATCCTTTTGGGTAAGAGAAAATTATCTGGAGGTTAGTTTTTGGCTTGAATATGAAGAATACAGATGTTTAATGCCAACCTTAGATATAAAGACAATATGAATTTTTATGGAGGGGGGGTTATATTTGGGGTGTTGCATATGGTGATGAAGTTCTCCAATATGGATGGAAATTACATTCTGTCAGTAACTTTCTGTGAGGACCACCACTCATCCTGAATGAAATTTTGCATGTGTATGATGGGGCAGTGGTACTGTATGATTTCTACCAATATCAAACCTAAAATGAAACAAAATTATTCAGTTAATCTTCATGCATGCCTTTGAGACACATAGCTTACTGTTTAATTAGTAGCCATTCTTATTATTTTCCAGTTATTTGTGGCAGCCATGGGACCTCCTGGAGGTGTCTCAGATGAAGTTTCACAACGATTTACTAGGCATATGTTTATTTTTTCTATTGATTCTTTTGAAGACAAAACCATTGATAGGATTTTCTGTTCCATCTTGGATTGGCATTTAGCCAAGGGCTTTGATGCTAATATTGCAAAACGATCAAAGGTTAGTATGGAAAATGTCTTATAATGATTTAACATATAAACGTAAGAATGTATCATTGTTATTACTCACCTAAATTAATCCTGCTTAGCATTTTGAATTGAAATGAATTATTATAACATGCAGTTGCTGTATTATTCATATTTACAATTTCAATTGAATTGTAGTGGCATTTAGAATAAATGTTAATTTTACCAGTACCCTTAGAGTTGCTGTTTACTGACATATATATATATATATATATATATATATATATTTGATTTGTTTCATTCTGGCCCATCACACTTTGAATATTATAAAAATGTAAAACAGTTCCATCCAGTGTGACTGGTGACTTATCTAACAAAAATTTAAAAAATATTAATATATCAAGACAGCCACTGTAGTTGTGAAAACTTTGGATTTTATATTTTATACCTATTGTAATAGTGGTCTCCAAACTGTATCAATGTCCCTCTGATGATGGGCTCTAAGGACTGAAACATGTAAGAGCATGAAAAACTGAAATAAGAAAAACTTCACCAGTCACACTGGATGGTACTGTTTTATCTGGGTATGTCACGCGACAATATATATTTATTATTGTCATCTATATATATTTTTTGGCCATAATGCTTATTTTTAGTGGCAGAAGTTGGACTTCTCATTGGTCATTGGTTGTTAGCTATAATTCATTGATCAGAGTTGCTGTTAACCATTTCCCAAAATTTGTTGGAAGGATTTCACATTGTAAGATTCTCATAATGGTCCAGTTTCAGAAGCCATCCACCACATTGTTCTCATATTTTTAGTGTTACAGCTGTGCTCTTTACTGCCTTTGACATCTCCTCCAGTAGTCTGTAAAAGAAAAGAACATATGGCAGGAGTTTTATATTTTCTCAGAATAAGATGCCTCTTCTTTCACTTTTGTGCTAATTAATTCAAAATGTATCAAAGTGAGGTAGGATATGAGAAGGATGTCAAGGAGTTAAAAATTATGTGCAGCCGTTATTGTTACCCATACCTCACCCTTCTCATGCTTCTGTTATTTACACAGTTCACACTTTCGGCAGTAAAACATCTCGTAGCTTAGGATTTTATGCTTTGAGAGATGACACTGTCTTGTGATGTGCTTGTTTATGAACATTTTGTAATCATTAAGGTCACAAGAATGACCTTGGCATTATATTTATAGTAGTGGGTTCACTGTCCATCACTTCACTCCAGAGATGGAAAATGCAGCACCTATGAAAGATTGGCAAATGAACCCATGAAAACATATCAGATATTAAGATATAAATTAAAAAATTGTAAAACCCTTACAAGTAAAAGGACACATTTTTATTGACAACATGACAGTGATTGTCTGTGGCTTGACTTTTGCCTCCTAGCCATTTGGTATCTAATATGCCGATAAATATTACTGAATACTAAACTGCTTTGTCTAAGGTATTATATTATGGTGACTAGTATATTTTCTTTATGTAGTCAGACATTTACATAAGAGTTCACTTCTTTAAGCCGAAGATAATGGCAGGGTCCCCATGTTTGGCTTATCTTTTAAGCACTACATATCTGAATACTGGTGTAAAAAAAAAAGGGTAAACATGTCCCTGTGCTTCACAAATTAAGTTCCATGCCGTGACAGCATATGGGGAATGGATGTATAGATCCTCATTTTCTTGGCCTCGGCACTAGTTGGAGATGAGTGGTCTGCTTTATGCCCTGACCACTTTATCTCTAGAGAAAACAGCCCTGGTACCCGTTGGATAGGAGGCTGGGTGGCCCCCAGAGTCAGTCTGGATGATGTGGAAAAGAGAGAATTCTTGACCCTACTGGGACTTTCAACTCCTTGGTCACCCAGCCTGTAGCCAGTTGCTATACTGACTACAAAGGGAATAAATACATTATTATATTTGATCATCCTGTTACACTCACACAATATCATCATCATCATCAGTAATCTGTCAAGACGACAGGTCCACAGTCTCTTTCAAAACAATTCCTCCACTTAATGCGATCTAGAGCTTTCTCCTTCAAATGACAGTATCCTCTTCTGTCCCCAAGGTCATCCAGCATCTTCTTACGTCTTCTTCCTCGTCTTCTTGTCACTTCTATCCGCCCATCTATCTTTCCTTCGATAGCTTCTTTTAGAAGGCAGTTTCTGCGTAAAACATGACCAATCCAATTAGCCTTCCGTTTTCTTATTTCATGTAGGATATTCCTCTGCTCACTGACTCTAATTAACACTTCTTCATTTCTCACATAATCGGTCCAACTGATCTTCTCCATTCTTCTCCAACACCACATTTCGAAACTTTCCAGATGTTTCTGATCTACTGCCCTAAGTGTCCATGTTTCAGCCCCATACAGAGCTATGCTCCAAATGTAGCATTTCACTAGTTTCTTCCTCAAATTTAAGTCCAATTTGCTGGTAAAAAGATTCTTCTTCTTGCTAAATGCAGCTTTTGAGACAAACACCGTCTTAAGTGTAACAATTTAATTGTAGGGAAAGAAAAAAGAACTACAATTAAATTGTTACACTTAAGACGGTGTTTGTCTCACGAATAAATACATATGGTAAATTAAATTAATAGGAAATTTGTAATTACTGGGTTTTTAGATTTTGTCCATCATCTGAAATTTAAAAAACTAGTGAACACAACGTTTTTGAAACTAGATCTGTTTCTGAAATGTTGTGTTCTCCAGTTTTTTGGAATACTGGGCAATGGGCAAAGTCCAAAACCTCAGTAATCCTGAGTGTTATACACCATTGTCAGACCCTTTAGAATTTTCTTAAAAGGAACTCTGTCTGTTGAAAATAAGCACTGGAATCTGGTTCCTGCTTGTTGCACCAGGAAAATAGCACTATGATTGTGTAGTTTTTGTGTATATCTGATAAATTTATTTGTCAAAACATACCACCCATGCCAGTAGATTGATGTGTCATATTAAATAAATCATTCTTAATAGTTTCTACTCTGTATATTTCGCCATGAAAGATATACAAACATTTTTATTCATTACAGATGCTGGTGGGAGCTACATTGGAAGTGTATAAAAATGCAGTGATGCAGTTCTTACCAACCCCTTCTAAACCACATTATAACTTCAATTTACGGGATTTCTCACGTGTAATACAAGGTGTACTCTTGGTTCCAAATACTCATCTAATTGAGCCTCAGAAACTCCTCAGACTTTGGATTCATGAATGTTTTCGAGTTTTCTGTGACAGATTGGTTAACAAGGAGGACAGGTATACTTTATGGAATAGAATATCAATGTAATTGGAGACAGGAATTTGCTTACACTTGAACTAAAGAATATGTTTCTTCCAAAATATTTCTCCCAAGAAATGTGCTACTTTTTAATGGTTACAGTATAATTATGGAGCTCATGTACAGAATACAGTTTAAATGACATGACCATTTTTCATAGACTTCTCAAATATTGAATTTCATGAAAATCCACCCAGCAGACCTCAAGTTTTGCATGTGTGTAGACAGATGGACAGAATTACTGAGAGAACTTAACAGGCGCGCTGCAAGGTTGTGAATATTCCAAAATGCAAACAGATAAGCTGCANACATTTTCTAGACAGTCGGCACACAGTTGGTTGTAAGGTTGTCAACCTTATGCGCCAGCCACCCTTTATCCCTCAGGAAGATTCCTGGTACTCCTCATTTCTGTTAAGAGGCTAAGATGACCCCAGGGCCTTCAGTGGCAGGAAGGATTAGGTCAATTGAAGAAATCCACCTCATCGGAGCTCGAACTCACAACCTTCTGGCTTGTGGTATAGTGCCTCAACCAACAAAGCTACCATGTGTCCCCTGTTGGATATGGAAATTTGGAATTGTTTGCATAGCTTCCAGTCATTTCAGCTATTTTTTAGAGGCATAAATCTTACAGAAGACGTATATTGAATGTAAAAGATTATCTCATTTATGTGTACAACTTCTCTTTGAAACATCTTTCATTACAATAATTATTCAACTGGTTACATTTGAGATGTCTGTAGGAACATATGTAGGTCATTATGTAGATTGTTATAATAGTCTAATCAAAATAGAAGTTTAAATGACATGACCATTTTTCATAGACTTCTCAAATATTGAATTTCATGAAAATCCACCCAGCAGACCTCAAGTTTTGCATGTGTGTAGACAGATGGACAGAATTACTGAGAGAACTTAACAGGCGCGCTGCAAGGTTGTGAATATTCCAAAATGCAAACAGATAAGCTGCATGTAAAATTTGAGGTTTTTATGGCAGTGACTATGAGGACTGCTGTTTTCTGGGATGTGGCGCCATGTAGATATTGTGTTAACCGACGTTTTGGAGGAACATATTGCCTCCATCTTCAGCAGCCACCTGCTCACACTGGATCGTCGCTCGCGGTTTTCTTATACCCTGAAGATGGAGGTGATACGTTCCTTTGAAATGTCGGTTAACACAATATCTACATGGCACCACATCCTAGAAGACTGTATTCTTCATCAGATAAGTTGCAGACTGTAATATATATGCATGGATAATTAGTAATATATTGTATTATAAAATAATTTTTAAATATTGTTTTCTTACTGGGCTTAGACATGCAATCTTCATTTATGATGGAAGGTAAAGCATTATTGTTGTAGATATTGGAGAGATTTATGTCTATATTATTTGTCAGGCTGTAACAGATTATAGAGGTGTAGTAAATTTTGTAGTTTGTTGCATCCAACTAAGTAGTTTCCCACAAGTTATAACAACAACATTTTATAGGACACAGCTCTTTGATATTGTGAAGAGAGCATGCTACCAGAATTTTCATCAGAAGATGGATAAAATATTAGCTGATCTTCTTCCTGAAGGTGAACATGCCCTCAAGGAATCACACATCAGATGTCTTTTCTTTGGTAATTACATGGAGCCTGATGCTAACCCCAAGATATATGATGAGGTAAATCATTTAATCTTAGAAACTGAATTACATGGAATACCAAGTACCAAAAACCAATTTCATACACTTTCAACTTCTTTCCTAGTAACTCTTATTTGATAGCAGTTCATATACTCTTGTGAACTAAGTGAGTTGCTAACCACCCTTCCAGAAAGTGTTACTGCCTTTGATTAACTTTATAGTTAGTGGTCTTTTCATATTTATTATGGTACATGCATTTCACTGCTCTTGGTAATTTGAACATAGCAAATTAGTAGTTACTATAGGATTCTGACGATGGTGTATAACACACAGGGATGTTGGGTTTTCGGACTTTATCCATCGTCCTGGTTTTTAAGATAACTAAGAAAAAACACGACGATTCAGAAACTGGATCTGTTTCCATCCTCAGGTGAGGGAAAACACTTATTCTGTTGGGTCCCTTAGAAAGAGCTAGCCTCAATCACTGGACCCAAGAGAATAGGTGTTTTCCCTCACCTGAGGATGGAAACAGATCCAGTTTCCAAAACGTGTTTTTTCTTAGTTATCTTAAAAACCAGGACGATGGATAAAGTCCGAAAACCCAATATCTCTGTATAGCAAATTAGACTACATTTAGTATTTTCCCCGGAGGAGGTACCATGTTTCAGTAGTACAATGATATCATTCCTTCCTCTCATAACTAACACTCTTGACTGTATATCTATGTACAATATCATATTTTGAGCACATATGCAACCAAAAATATGTGCTGCAATTAACTAAATGGGGAACAGTTCTTCATAAAAACTAATATTCACTCAGTTGCTCAAAAATTTCCATACCTTATATGAATCCCAGAGGGACATCACTCTTTTCACAAGACTTCACCAGTTGTCCATATCCTGAGCCAGATGAATCTTGTCCACAATCCTCCTCCTTCTTTGAGATTGAATTTGATATTCTCCATCTGTCTATATCCAATCCTTCCATGTGATTTCTCTCTGTCAAGTTTACTGACCAAAGTTGTTCTGTGACTTCTTATCTCTCCCATCTGTATTATATTTCCTGCCCGTATTTGGTGAAAAGTACAAATTATGGAGCACCTCATTATGCAGTTTTTTCCAGCTTCTTGTCACTTTCACAGTTAAAAAGGCTTCACAGAAAACTCAAATTGTGTATGTGAGTTAGGTTTAAAGTAATCTGTGTAATGCGACTGACAGCTGCTATAGAATAAATACAGTTATTTGATACTGTGAGCACTCTCACATGTAATCAGAGATCTTTGAATTGTACTGGATTTTATCACCTGTTCATACTATCCAATGTACATATGGGACACAGGAAGTACTGTCTGTCTACATTCCAGAGCTCTAAAAACACAGATGCACATGGTAGTCCATTACTTAATGTCTTAATTTAAGAATCTTATACCTGAGGTCATTCCCAGGCAGAAGTGTCATATAAACACAGGTTTAATTCTCAGCTGTTACAGAGCAATATTTCAAACTCAAGAATGTTTTGGATGTAAGTAATGCTAATTTCATGTTTGTGCATCCACGTACGCTTAAAATATTGTAAACTTTCCAATTTTTTATATGTTTTAGAAGTTTTCAATTTTTTTGTCCAATTCCAATCTTCTAATTTTTTTAGTTAGCAGAAGTCTTCATATTTGTGGAATTCTCAAATTTTTAACTTTTATAAAATTTTCAAAAATTTTTATTTTTGTTTAAATCTTGAAAGACTTCAAATTTCCTTAAATTTCAAACATTTTCAAATTGCTCTGTGCCAACATGAATTGCTGCTAGCATAAAATTACCATGACTTGCATTCAAACCATTCTTGAATTTCCAACATTCACTGGTCTGCAAACATTGACAATTGGACATATGTTTATAAGATATTTCAGCCTGGGAATGACCTCAGGTATAAGGTCATGAAGTTAAGACATGAAGCTTTGAATCACTCTGCATAATGCAATCAATTTAACAATTGTAAAATATGGTCTCACGAGAGATGTAACAAGTGGCAAAAGATGGTGGTAGTTATGAAGATTGCTGTTTTCTGGAATGTGAAGGAGGAAATTACTGCCTCCATCTTCTAGGCTGAAGATGGATGCAGTATGTTCCCCCGAAACATTTGTTAGATCTGGGATATGATATCATTAAATGCGGTTGATATTTACCAGATACCCTTAAAATGGAGGCAGCAGGTTCCTCTAAAATGCTGGCAAATAGTGTGATGTGTTGCACTATGGAGGACACCTCCCCCCCCCGCCAGCGGTGACGTGCCGAGCGGAACTGAAGTGAGCCGAGTCCAAGCACACTGGTCACTATGCAAAGCGAGTAAACAGTGGTTGCTAGAGACGACTGTAATAAACAGCAGTACCCATTACATAACAGGCAAACACGGCAACTAGGCAACAAGGAACAGAGGCGTTTCCTGTTGTCCGGATGAAGGTTTATAAGAGAACTACACAGCCTACAAAGCGAGTTAAAATGTAGCAGCCGCCGAAGAGATTTCAAGGCAGTAGCCACGGAGTGAGTTGGAGTATAGCAGCAGTCGCGGAAAGAAGAACCGGATGCGTGTGTGATAATCAGTGATAGTTCATGATAACTGAGAAATAATTGGCAGCGTGTAATACAGTGACACTTGTATAGCTCCCGTACTGTGAATACGCGTAGACTACTGAGGACAGTGAAGAGATTTGTGTGTAGGGTTTGTAAAGTGTGTAAACCCGTAACATTGTTATAAGTATTTGTAGCTGAGACTTGTAGGTTGTTAAATAAACCAATTAACAATCTGAACGGCGTCTTCAGTAACAAAACACATTACAATATCTACCAATCCATACGATGTCATATTCTAGTAGATGGTACTCTTCATATTCATTGCAGTGAGAACCTCAAATCATTCAATTAAGAATTTAGTGAATTAGGCAGCTAATTTATTAATATTACATAGATACATACATACATCTCCGTTTCAGGATATTCATAAATGCAATCTGCACTGAATATGAAACATGTCACAAGCTTTACAAACAACAATACATCTTTACAATTCCAACATGCCATATCACAATAACAAACAAACATAAATGCAACAACATGCATCTAAATACGTGGTGCAATCCAAAAGTTCCCGAAATATATTAATAAAAACTATTACATCTTACCTGGATCTTATTCTGCACCATCACCTTCAAAGTAGTCCCCTTTGGAGTGTATACACTGGTCCCAGTGCTTCTGTCACTTTTGAAATGCATCCTGGAAGTCTTTCTTTGTTAGGGTGTTTAGTACCGTCTGCGTTTCTGCTTGAATTTCCTTAACTGTATCAAATCTTCGCCCCTTCAACTTGATTTTCATCTTGGGGAAGAGAAAGAAGTCAATAGAGCTAAGTCTGGCGAGTACGGTGGGTGGGGAACAACTGCCATCTTGTATTTAGCCAAAAATTCCTGCACAATGTAAGCCGTATGCGTTCATGCGTTGTCATGGTGGAGTACCCGGTCGTTCATGCGCCACTTCTCTGGACGTTTTCTCCCCATGTCCTCCCTCAAACACCTTAGAACATCGCGATAGAACTCTATTGACTGTCTGACCAGGAGGGACAAACTCCTTATGAACAATCCCATTAGTATCAACAAATCAGATCAACATGGACTTAATGTTGCTCTTGACTTGTCGAGCGTTTTTTGCCCGAGGTGAAGAAGGGCTCTTCCATTGCGACAATTGCTGCTTGCTTTCAGGGTTGTAGCCATAAACCCAACTTTCGTCACCAGTGACAACCTTCAAAAGAAAGTTTGGATCCTCTTGAAGCTGTTGCTGAAGTTCCCTGCAGACCTCCAAGCGATGCTGCTTCTGTTCATTTTGCAGCAGTCGTGGCACAAACTTCGCCGCAATCCTCCTCATGTTCAGTTCCTCTGACAAAATTCGTCGACATGTACCATAACTTAGTCCCAAGGTGTTACAGAGGTCTTGGATGGTCAGTCTACGATCTTGCAGAATCAGATACTTAACTTTCGCGACATTTCCTGGTGTGGTGCCAGTTGACGGCTGGCCCGAACGGTCGTCATCATCAGTCAATGTTCGGCCATTTTTGAAACGCTTATACCAGTTGTAAGTTTGTGTCTGGCCTAAACTGTTGTCACCAAAAGCTTGCTTCAACATTTGGTGCGTTTCTGCAGTGGTTTTCTCAAGTTTAAAACAAACCTTTTATACAGACACACTGCTCTCTCAGGTCAGCCATCACAAAACCGCAAACTCATGGAAACACAACATTGGAAATACATTCACCAACAATAAACCCAACCACTCAACTCGATGCCGCTTGCCACACTGATTCAAGAAGGGTGTGTGGGGAGACACCTAGCGGTACTTCGATGTACTCATAACCATTCGCGCACAAAATTCAAATTTCGGGAACTTTTGGATTGAACCACGTAAATACATAAAATACAGATTATATTTACACTTAATGTCTATATTGTTGCCTACTGTGGGACATCCATTAGTCAGCATGCACTCCACTTCTATTCCTTAGCTGTTGATCCTGAAAGAAGAGCAAGAATTCATCAACAGTATATGATGGATTGTGTATTAGGACATCCCTTATTTCTTTTGTGAACTGTTTTTTATAATGTACCAAATCAGTTAAATAATCAGGCAGACTGTTAAATATTTTTATACTCATGCAATGGACCACTTTCTGCCTCATTGCAAGATGTAATTGTAGGACATGTAAATTTCTTTCATGTCTTGTCAGTCTCTCATAAATTGAATAATTAAAAGTAAAATATTCCAAGTTATTTATCATAAAAGTCATCAAGGATAAAATATGTTAGGAAACCAATGTTAATATATTTAACTTTATAGATGGTGGCCTACATGACTCTCTGTGTTTCATCCCCATTATTATTCTAATAGTCTTCTTTTGTAAGAGAAAGATCTTCTTGGCCTCTGATGAATTACCCCCAAAAAACTATTCCATATCATGAGTGAATGAAAGTATGCATGATATATCATTTTAAGTGTTGTAACATTACTATATCTTTTCATAATCCATATTGCATAACATGCCTTTCCCAATCTTGGTAACAGTGATTCAGCCTGTGTCTTCCAATTCAAGAACTTATCAATTTCAATGCCCAAAAATTTAATATGAGTTTCCTCTTGTAATAATTCATTGTTAAACTTTAAATGTACAGGCATATTGTCACGATTGATTGTTTCAAATTTTAACACTTCAGTTTTCCTCAAGTTTAGGGATAAGCCATTGTATTTAAACCACTGACCTAAGGAATTTAACATAAGTGTAGACCTTTCTTGAATTTAATCAATATTAATACCCGACACTAATATACTTGTATCATCGACATACAACAATGACTTGTTGTCAGTACTTAATGCTGATGGCAGGTCGGTAATATATAAAAGGAACAACAAAGGACCCAAAATCGAGCCCTGTGGCACTCCATATTTGACAGTTCCCCAGTCTGAACAGCATTTTATATTTTCATTATTATAGAGTTCAACTCTTTGTCTTCTATTTTCCAGATAGGACTTCAACCATATTTCTATTTTACCACTAGTGCCGTATGTTGTTAATTTACTCAAAAGAATATCATGACTCACACAGTCAAATGCTTTTGTCAAATCACAAAAAATTCCTAATGAATGATTGCATCTTTCCAACGTTTCTAAAATATCATTAGTTAATGTATATATTGCCATTTCTGTGTTATTAATGAAGGCAGTGGTGTTGTAGGGAATGGACACGTAATTTGTATGACAGAGAAGAAATTTTACAGCATATAAGTTGGCCTAGTTTGTGTTCAGTGGCAGATTTAAGTATTAATGAAACTGAATATTTGACTTCTATTACCAGAGAATTGTATTGTCAGTACTCTTCATACTGGTACACCACACATGTATTTACACAAAAAAAACAATAAAAATATCATTTATCATGAAATAAGTCATGTTAGTCATCATAAGCTATTTCCATATGTATTTCAGTAGTTTATGTTTCTCTCCATCAAGGCATTAAACTCTGACTTTGTCATGATCCTGCTTTCATCATTTACTTGTCTCATACAAATTGCAACAAATGTAATATTAAAATGCTTTATTCTACTATGATCTGTTTTGTTTTTGAATAACCATTATTAATAAATATATTCTGTTACTCAATTTCCTTAGGTAAAGGACTTGAATTTGCTGACTGAGAAAATGAATTACTACTTAGATGAGTACAACCTCCAGTCACAAACACCAATGTCATTGGTCATGTTCCAGTATGCTATTGAACATATTTCACGTGTCAGTCGTGTCTTACAGCAAGATAATGGACATATACTCTTGGTGGGGATTGGTGGCTCAGGAAGGCAGAGTTGTACCAAATTAGCAGCAAGTATGATGGAATACACATTATTTCAGGTAAAGTGTGACAATTTTCAGAATTTTTGTGTAGTTGCTCTTCAGTCCTCTGTCTGCTAGGAGTTCTATATGGAAATTAATACTGTTTCACTCTGGATAGGTGTACATATTTTATTTGGATTTGAAGACATATTTTACGCCTTTAACCATATCCAGAAGTTGATCTCTATTGGATTCATGATGCTGGCAATAAATACTTCAAAATATATTAATTTTAAATTCTCCACTTAATTGAATTCCTTCTTAAGCTAATGTGACATAGTGATCACACAAGAAAGCAACATTCTTTTCAGCTATAGGATTGGTGAGCTGGTGAGTGTGGAATAAAATTGTATTCCAGCAGCCAAATTTGTGCAGTTGTGTAATGTTTGGGAGCAACCTGAATAAACAACATTAATGAATTAATTATCAGTATTACAAGGTGTGGCAATAAAGAACCCGGATTACTTTTATGACTCATTTCCGGCCACGTCATTGACGAAGAGGAGGGCAGGGCATTGACCCTTGGACTTCCCTCTACCGTCACACAAAGTTTCATTCACGTGCATCGGTTAGTCTGGCCGCGACCATTGTTAGAAGCGGATCGTGTTTCTGAGCTCCGTCGGAATAATGCTGAGTGCTAATGCAGAACAACGTGCTAACATCAAATTCCTCACAAAACTTGGAAAATCTGCCACTGAAACTTACAATTTGTTGACAGAANAACACCTCTTTGCCCCACAAATGTGTGACAGTTTTATTATGGTATTCCCAAAGATGGGTGACGACCCTTAACATGACTGCTTTAAACTCCTGTGACTAAGCCCCTAACTGATGACCACAACTGCTACAGCTGCTCAGGTCAGTCACTGGGATTCCATATGAAAATCCCCTGAGACAGATTATAATCTGTCTCAGGGGATTTTCATATGGAATCCCAGTGACTGACCTGAGCAGCTGTAGCAGTTGTGGTCATCAGTTAGGGGCTTAGTCACAGGAGTTTAAAGCAGTCATGTTAAGGGTCGTCACCCATCTTTGGGAATACCATAATAAAACTGTCACACATTTGTGGGGCAAAGAGGTGTTACTGGGCATACATCAATTGTACATTCATTTTGAGATATCTCATGTTCTAATTTACCTAGAAAGATGATTTAAGCACCATTAGATTCCTGAATATATAGAGATAATGAAAGTAACAAGATTTTTTTTTCCAAATGATTTGGATCCTTGTGCAGACAGTTACAAATAAATTTGAATATACAGTAGAACTTGGTTATAACGTCATCAAAGGGACCTAAAAATAGTGTTGTTATAAACGAATGTTGTTGTAACCGAAATGGGCACTTCCACAGTAGCCTTGTGTTAGTCACGTAAAAATCTATCAAAAACCAAGTTAAAATGTTGCATTTTTTAGTGAAATACGTAGTTAAGTACAGACTAACGTAACATTAACGTGGAATTGCCCAAATGTGTAATATCAAAGACATATTACAGCGCTTTTCACTGACAATACNTGTTCAAGATGTAGTGCCACTTTCAAACTACTACAGATTTGCTTTCCTGAACATAGTTCAGAACTTCCAGCAATGGAACTGTAATAGCAGGTCTGAAGGGCCTTTAGATGAAATATCAGTTCTCAGTGTTGAGTTACTGAGAATGAATGTCAGATATCTTGTGAGAAGAATGTTAATGGTGTAAAGGAAATAGATTTGAGCGGGACACTTAAAAGCAGAATCAAGGTATGAAACCGCATATAAAAAAGCTAACGCTATCCCTGTAATGGGCCATGAAGGCCCATAGGTTTGTGAGATGTCGGGGCTCCCACATTTTCTGTAGACATTCGGCTCACAGATGGCAATAAGGTTGTCAGCCTTACACACCTTACACCGCAGGAAGAATTCTGCTACTCATTTCTAGTAGAGGCTGAGTTGACCTCTGGGCCATAGTGTGGCTGGAAGGATTAGGTAGACTGAAAAAGCCCAATGACCTCATTGGGACTCAAATCTGAGACCTTCTAACTTCTAGCGTAGTGCCTCAACCAACTATGCTACCGCATGAAACTATATATGTATACTGAAAGCTGTGAGTTGGTGCCCAAAAAAAAAAATAAAAAAAAAAATCTATGTAATTGGTATGGGTTTAAATGCTGATATCCACTTTTCTTTTGACATTTCAGAGCTTATAAGAGTGCCAGAGAAAAGTTGTAAATGACAGAACTATTCAGTCCTCAAGAGCTTGGTCCACAAATATCATGAACACTGTTTTATTTGTAATACAGCGAGTTCAATTAAGGAGGAAACTTCGCAACACCGCTGACCCAGCCCAACAATCCTCACAGATTGCTGCTGTAACTGCTGATAGCAGAATGAGTCATTGGAGCTGATGAACGTGCGCCATTGTAGTTACGGTTACAGCAGCAAACTATGAGAAATATTGGGCCCAATCAATGGTGTTGTGAAGTTTCTTCCTTGATTGAACTCCCTGTACAAGTGGCAGGTTGCTAAAACTGTGAGGCTAGTATTCACTCAGCAACTGAAGCATGTGATATTAATGACTGCATAAAAAATGCAGCTTTAAACTCTGTTATCACCTATCGTTAAGTGTAATATTGAAGTTTACATTTCAGCTACTACCATGTGTTCTGAAATGTAGCAGGTAAAGTTAAGCTGTAATCTTAATACAAGAAGCCAAAAAGCACAGCCACAAGCAGATAAAAACTTGCTGCGAGAAGTGGCCAACATGTTTTAGTCATTATCATCGTCATTATTGTCATCATTTTCATTGTCTTCATCATCATCATCATCATCTGTAAAAGTTGACTTTGTTAGCCTACTCTGTTCTAAAACTGTGGGAATTGAATTTTTGAGGATTATGAATAACTCTATTTTTACTTGAGCAGGTTATCAGCCTGTAAACTGGAAAATATTTGGCCATCAGCACAACAGTATTTAACTAAATAAACCAAAGAATCTCTTAAGAATTGGTTTATTTCAGCGACTACTACATGTTTCGGTCCTCATGGGACCATCATCAGGTAGTTCTACAAATATGTCTGTAGTTAATTGATGCTTGTGTTTCATATTCATAAATTTATTTATGCTGTATGCATGTCTAATATGAACTATCTTCATTGTATGCATCGGTTAACTACAGATATATTTGTAGAACTACTTGATGATGGACCCATGAGGACCAAAACATGTAGTAGCCACTAAAATGAACCAATTGGTAATAGTTACCTGGTTCATTTAATTAAATATTCTTGTGTTAATGAACAGACATTTTCCTGTGAGTTATGATACACAACATGATGCATACAGCAAAAATATCAGCCTATTGCAAAACCACCTATGTTGGAGGACCAGATTTTTTATTCAGTGGTTCCTTCCCTCAGACACTTTGCCTGCCATGGCCAGCAAGTCCTATGTGCCTTCCATATAACCCTGAAAAAGGACCTTTTCCAGGTGCTACCCTTTGGTCTAGTGGGATCTGGAGCTTGCATAAGACAGAGTCACCACTTCTTATAGTTGGACTGTCTCGGTATGAGTTCCAAGTTGGTACATCCACATGTTTTAGTTTGTAATACATCTTAGAATCTCTCCTCATTTGAAGTGCAGGAGCATTCTTCATAGTTGCATATGATTGATGAAGATTACAAAATAAGCTCCTTGCTATGAAGTTCAATTTTAAATATATAGCATTCTATATCAAGTCACATTATATATACAAGGTGTTTCACGACTTTAGGGCATAACTGCAGGAGGTGATTTCCTAGGTCTTTGTGATCAAAAAAGTTCATATAAACATGTGTCCGATTTTGGACGGTTACAGAGTTATGACCGTTTTTTCATTCCTGTACATGCCCTCGTGTGAACCGCATCTATCATCTGGCGGGTCACTATTTTTAGCCAGCTACAGACAGAGCGTTCTCGTTATCTCGACACTTGAGAGGTACCTAAGGCGAGGTGGGTTGGTATGTCCGGCCACGGCTAGTGTGGCGGCTACTGGTGTTCAGAACTGTTCTCATCTCAGTGTGTCTGTTACGTTCATGATGCTATTTACAGTTTCATTTGAGGAGTATGCAGATATGGTTTATGTGTATGGGTTTTGTGACGGTAACTCAGTTCTTGCTGTAGCTGAATATCAGCAACAGTTTCCGAATCGTAGAGTACCGAACCGGAGAGTGTTTACTGGAGTTTACCAGGCATTGTGAGATACCGGTAGACTTCCCGGCGTTCATATTGCAGCCGAGCGTGGTGTTAATGGAGGTGTCAATGAAGAAGGCATTGTTCATATGGTACACCGCAGTCCGCATACTAGTACGCAAAGAATTGCAAGCCAGGTCTCCAGACTTAAGCCCACTGGATTATTGTGTGTGAGGGTGGATGAAAGAACTGGTTTACAATGTGAAGGTGGCAACGCGAGATGCTTTGCTCGGTCACATTCTGGACACCGCTGACCATATAAGAAACAGCCAGCTGAAGCTGCTACGTGCTACCCATGCGGTTCACAACCGAGCAGCAGCCTGTGTTGCGGCCAGCGGTGGCATTTTCGAAAATCAGCTTTAAGCACCAATAAATTCAAATTAAAGGTAATTTCACGAAGTTAACTTTACATTCATACTTTAAATGTATCATGCATTATGCTGGTTTATTATTTTGTTCTGTTTATTGTCAGTAATCATTACCTTCTATTCTGAGTTTAAAACGGTCATAACTCCATAACCGACCAAAATCGGACACATGTTTATGTGAACCTTTTTGATCACAAAGTCCTAGGAAATCACCTCCTGCAGTTATGCCCTAAAGTCATCAAACACTCTGTATATATGGTCATTGAAATTTAAATTGACCTAATCCTTCCTGCCACACTATGGCCCTGGGGTCAACTCAGCCTCTAACAGAAATGAGTACCAGGAATCTCTGGGAGGGGTAAAGGGCAGCTGGAGTGTAAGGCTGACAACCTTACTACCATCTGTGAGCCAATTGTCTAGAAACTGTGGGAGCCTCAACTCTCACAACTCTTAATAATGTTGTATTTTAGCGTCCTGTTGCACTGATTCGCGTCCATGATGTGTATGTATTGACCATCTTCTAGTGCACACAATCTCACTTGTCACTTCACTACATGTTTCGGCATCACTGTGCCATCCTCAGGTGTGTTATTTACGTTAAACTATTGCACTGCTGTAAATCATGTGTCGTTAATATGATGTATAAGATGATAAATCTTAAATTTTATTATAGTACATAATGAATATACGTTTTAAATCAGTTTATAAATGACACATGATGGCAAGCAGTGCAATAGTTTAACGTAAATAACACACCTGAGGATGGCACAGTGATGCCGAAACATGTAGTGAAGTGACAAGTGAGAGCACTAGAAGATGGTCAATACATACACATCATGGCTGTCTCACAACTCTGTGAGCCTTCACGGCCTTTGATATGGAATGATATATATATGGTCAATTCATGCATATTGCACTTAAAACCACATGGGAATAATGATTCTAGATTGAGATTAGACAGACCTATGGAGAGTCAGAGTGGAAGAATGATTTGAAAGCTCTTATGAAGAAGGCTGGTGGAGAAGGAAAACCAACTGTTTTCTTGTTAACTGACTCTCAGATAAAGGATGAATCATTTGTTGAAGATATTAACATGATCCTCAACACTGGAGATGTACCAAATCTTTATGCTTCTGATGAAAAAGCTGAAATATTAGAGTTGATGCAGACTGCAGTCAGGATGTTGGTGAGTGTTTGAAAGTATCATGCTTATTTCAGATAAGAAGTTTAGGTTGTGTCTGCAATTTTTACATTAGAGATCATGAGCATTATTTAATATGTTATGTAACTGAATATGAATTATGCTTCCACTGGGAAGATTTACATTTTCTCAACACACGTCACCTTTCAGTGCATTACACTTTTTCAACTTTGATCCTAAGGACAGAGCAGATGTCAACTCTGAGCATCAGCCAAGCAGAAATGATGTCTTTCTTTCATTATTAACGTTCTCTGCAGATTTATTTTATTTATTTATTAATGTATTTATAGTCCATTTGAAATTGCTGCCCACACCTCAGAGTATATAGCATCAAATGCTAGGATAATTAGTAATTAGTAATTAATTAATTGGGAAAAATGTGGAAGAAAGTGATCATGGTCTCATTTGAGGTACTAAGAGTTTCCCTGGGCAGATGAGGAATTGCATGGAAACTCTCATTCATTTTGGAAAATAAATCAAACTAAGAATGTCCAAAATTCAAAGAAGATATGCTCCCTACTCGATTGTGACAGTTTTTGAACAGAACATGGTCTGTCAGAGCCACATCTGAAGTGCAGGTTGGTTTATTGAATTCCATCATGCACAGCAACCTGAATTTCCTTTGACTTTTGGATAGGAGAAAAGGCAATATTTTTCTTAGTTTACATTAGCATTTTGTTTGATGGTGTCACACAAGGTTTCCATAATGGCTGCATCAGGTTTACCAGTGATCCTAGAAATGTGTCGCATGAATCCTGGAAGCAGTAGACCCTTATATCTGAAAACAAAGATTTCCAACCTTCAGTTTATGTTTTGGTTATCCTTTGTCACTCCACTGCATGAACATCTGTTTAGTTAGTGGACTGTATTGGTGCACAAATGAATTATCATCTGTCAGTACTCTAGAAAACGAAGTATCTACATACTATTAAAAAAATCCATGTTTTAATTTCAGCTGTTAGGTTAACACCTTTTCCTGTCTAAAGTCAGTGTTTTAGGTATCCAGTGACAACTGACCTTGGACATGAATTTTTTCTTAACTATGAGAAGAACTGTATCCATGTAATTTCTAAGATCATGAGCTAGACTAAGGACTTTGTTGCAATGATCTTCCATTCTCACAGCTGCCACTTTATGAACAACTGACACATTTGTCCTCATTAACATTAAGAGGTTGTTAAAATATATTATATTTTCTTTGTTTTAGGGTAAGAAGATTGAACTTACCCCACTGGCATTATATAACTTCTTCATTGATAGAATAAGGGTGAACCTTCATGTGGCATTAGCAGTGTCGCCCATTGGAGCCTCATTTCGAAACAGACTGCGGATATTTCCATCACTTGTTAATTGCTGTACTATTGATTGGTAAGATGTTATTGAGAAATTGTATATATTGTTATCATCATTTGCTTTCTGTACATATNTTTGATCTTCATCGTGAATATTTGGTCGCCCTTCATTGAACATTCTACACCACTGTCCTAGAGTCCCTTCAGCCATATTTTGGCTGTAAACCACTCATAATTCATGATAGATTTCCGCAGCACTCATGATTTGGCATGAAGAATGCAGATAACAGTGTGAATTTCACAGCTGATGGGATTATCAATCGCAGAAAACATCATAGAGATGACCAGTTATATGCTGGTTTACAAGTCACTGTGTCATGTGACATTACCTCGCATGCATGAGCTCTCCCCCCACCTACATTACTTACCTAAAATAAGTGGAGGTTACTCTCCAAATTGTCCTAGTATATTAATGATATTTTTCTTCACATGGTCCCTCACCTCTGACATGCTGTTCACTTTCATACAATATTTTGTGCTATGTTTTGTAATAATCTTATTAACAGGAGTCAGCCAACTGATTTCTTTGGTGTCCTATTTTCTCAGCTTTCTTATTTTAATGTGTGTTAATTAATGTGTTAATAGCAAAATTCATATTCAGGTTTAGTGCTTGGCCAGAAGATGCACTGGAACTTGTTGCAAACAAATTTTTAAAACAGATTGACATGGAATCTGAAATAAGAAATAACTGTGTGGAAATGTGCAAGCACTTTCATACTAGTGTCAGCAACATTTCGAAAAGGTATGTCATCATCTGTAGGTGTAATTTATTCAGTATTTTGGATGTACAGGTAAAAGTGAGGTGAGAAATAGACAATCTCTTTATCTTATTTCACAGCTTCTAAAACTCTTTCACATATGCTTAGAATGGTAGATCAATCATGGCAGGATTCTGAATTTATGAGTCTAATGATGATAAGTTTGAACATTGGATTTAACAACAAAAATTCTTGTCCTTGTTGAGATTATCCAGTCAGTGTTCTTGTCAGGTCTGCAGCACAGTGAAACTACAAAACTAGAAGAAAACAAATATAATTTCAGTAGATCTTAAATTTCCAGTATAATGCTGCCAGTACATTCCTATTTTATGATTTTTGAGGCTTTTTGTTTTTTGAACAAAGGTATGTTTCTACTGTGCTTTTCAATGCAGCTGCTGAACAAAATTACAGTCACTTCTCTTCACTCTTAAGTCCAGTCATTGATATTGTCCTTTGTAGTGCAATACTGATTTAGCATTTTCCGATTAAACTGATGTTCTGAGAATAATTAAAGGGCGAGGTTTCAGGTGTTTTACTCTGTAGAGAGAATCTGGAACACTTAAATAAATTATATAATAGTATAATTTCTTGCAGTGATTGTAGTGGAAATTTTTAACCCACAAAATCTGTTGGCATGTTTGTAATATGTCAGTTTTCTAGCTGCAGTGATTCAGTTATATTAATCATATTTTAAAATGCACAGATATTATGTGGAACTTAAAAGGCACAGTTATGTTACTCCAACATCATACCTGGAGCTGATCACATGTTTTAAGAGTCTCTACGACATGAAAATAGAGAAAATCACAACACAAAGGGACAGATATGAAGTGGGACTCGAGAAACTGGACTTTGCTGCTGGGCAGGTATGTTCAGGTTCTAACTTCTCTTTCTTCATTTTAGGATCTGTTCCATGTGTTCTTGTTACTGAAATTTTCTAGCATTCTTCTGAATGACACAAAGTTCCTCACAAAGGAAGTCAGTCATGAAAACCAATTTCTTCCCACAGGGGCTCATTACCATATTTACAAAAGACCGCCACTAGTCTGTGACCTAATCCAGTTCACACTTATGTAATTGTAAAATTTTAAAAATCAGTGCTACATATATAACAGGCAATAATATTCACAACATTCAGTTTATTCTGCTGCAAGAGTTGTTTTCTTTATGTGAAAGCTGTAGGCCTGCTTAATGAATAACAGTACTGAACTACACTCATGTTAGTGTTTATGCTATATGTGCTGGGATCAGCACAATTTTTATGGTAGATACAAAGTGGTTCAAATATGACCAGGACTGATTTTTTTTTAAACCAAAATTGCGAAGCACTTACTTGCACATGTCAGTCTTCAACGTACTCCCCTCCAGAGCCAACACATTTTTTCCAACGTTCTGGAAGCATCCTGATGCCCTTTTCAAAAAAGTTTTGTGGTTGGCGGCGTATCCACTCCCGAACATTCTGGATGACGGCGTCATTGTCCACAAACCACATGCCTTGCAAGTCTGATTTGAGCCTTCTGAACAGGTAGAAATCACTTGGTGCCAAATCGGGACTGTACGGCGGATGTGTCAGAAGGTTCCATTTCAATTTCCGGAAGGTTTCCATTGTTGTTTTGGCTGTATGGGGGCGTGCATTGTTTTGAAGGAAGGCTACCCACTTTCCACCTCTCTTCCGCTTGGATTGGATCTTTTCCTTCACGTCTGTTGCCAGGAGGTCTGAGTAATAAGCTGCGTTGACTGTTCTGTCATCTGTCAGAAAGTCTACATGGATAACCCCCTGCCAGTCCCAGAAGAACGTTGCCATCACTTTTCCTGCCGAATGGCTCCTCCGCGCTCTCTTGGGTTTGGGAGAACTGGTATGCCGCCACTTGCGTGATGATTGCTGGGACTGTTGTTGGAGTCTGTGGTGAATTTCAGCGGACGGGACGTTTTCTCCAATGAGGAATTTGATCACAATGCGTTGTTCCATGCTCTGCGGTACCTTCCGTTCACTCATCACTCTAGCAACTTCCAGACATGACTGAACAGGTTCTAACCCTAACAGGAGGGAGGGTGGAGGTTGTGGCTTCACTCTCTCAAGGTCGCACAGCTGCTGCGCAGTGCGGCTTGTTTACAAAAAAAATCAGTCCCGGTCATATTTGAACCACTAGTATTTACATTTACTGCTTCTATAATGAATATGTAAGCATAAAATAAACTGCTGTCTACCTGGTACCCAAACATGTGGAATTGTCAGCCAACTGTGAAAAGTTTAAAAGCAAATTTCCACTTTAATAAAGTTATTAAAAATACATCTGTGATCACATATTTTTACTCACCACATAATAATTTCCCCAGGTGCCACCAACAATGCTGCCCATCATCCTCCTTCATACATGTGACGGTACAATAGAGACTAGTTGAATCAGTGATTGCATTATAGTATATGTATCCAAAATCTTTCTCCCATTCTGCTATATCATTTAGGAAGACTCCCAAGGAAGAACTGAGGTGAAAACATGTTGTTTTGATTTTATACTGGGTATCTGTAAAAGTCTGTCTCACACAACTAGCAGAGTCATCTAGCCAGTGCAACCCATTCCCCAAGCATGCTGGATAATGTGGAATTCACTGTATTACACTCTAATGACATGTTACACTGTTACATTTTATGGACAGGTTGGACTGATGCAAGATGAACTGCATGTGCTACAACCACAGCTGATTGACACATCAGAAAAAACTGAGAAACTCATGATCAAAATTGAACAAGATACAGTTGTTGTGGAAGCCAAGAAAGAGGTACCTCTTTTCTTTATCTTTGCAGAAATGTTGGTATATTTATGTAACCTATCAATGGTTTTTGTTCTGTGCTGTTCTTCTATGCCCTTCTAGGAATGGTCCTGATTGCATCATGTGTTTGTGATGTGTGGTTGTTAATTGAGTACATGACATATATTTAGTCCTGATAATAACTGTATTATTAATAGTATTTAATAAGTAATGCCACACCTGATATTGATATGTTGATTCTAAGTATGTAATTTTAAGAACTGATTTTTCTGTTGTACTGAACACTTCAATTTTTCCTTATGTAACATACACTGTAATAGTGTATTTGAATCACTGCTGTGATTTGAAGTACCATTTGTGGTTTCAGATTGTTGGTGCTGATGAAGCGTTAGCCAATGAGGCTGCTGCAGCTGCCCAAGCTATCAAAGATGACTGTGAAAGTGATCTCGGTGAAGCCATACCAGCACTGGATTCAGCACTACAAGCCCTTGATACACTGAAACCTCCAGACATCACTATTGTGAAGTCAATGAAAAATCCTCCTGCTGGAGTTAAACTGGTTTGTAATCAATAGAAGTGGAATGATATAATATTTATCGCTATAATTGACAGCTGAACTGTACACAAATCACATTTACTATGTCTTGAAAGGAAGAGGAGAAAAAACCAAGAAAAAATAGAACATCCAGTAGTGTGAATTGTAGCATTGTAGAACACTGATTTTCATTGATTGTGAATTGTGTTGTTGAGTGTATTTTCATACATAAAGTAAATCATGAATAGACAAATCTATGTTATATTTTGTAACGTGGATGGCCAGACCAGTAAACACCCCTTGACCAATGACATACAAGGCACCAACTCTCAGTGGAGGAATGTTATCACACGTTGCTAGGCAACAGCGCACCAATGAAGATGCTGACTTAACAGGCAAATTGAAGACTTTGTGTGTTGTAATTATAGTAATCTTGAAACTGTTAAGTTCTTTGTAGTTACAGCTAGTGAAGATCCAGTAAACTGATTCACCAATCCAAACCCATGTCATAGTCACTCAAACACATGACAGTATATTGACTGGATATGCATTGTATTTTGCCCTAAAGGATGCAACTCTAGATGACAACTTAGAACAGTATCAACAAATAATTGTGCTTACAGCAATCTGTTGCTTAATCTTAATGTAATTCTTGGAAATCCTCTGAAAATTCATCACAGGTGCCGGAATTGTGAGATGTCTTGTAGATTTAATGTTACTGGGTTCATGATGATATTACATAGCTATTTTTCTGATATCATCTTGAAGATTTCTGTGTACTTAATCAGCCACCTTATGTTTTAATCCTGCTTATACCAACTTCTTGCAGTAGTCTCACAAGGGTTTGATTAAGAGTATGAGCTCCAGTTTCAAGATCATGCTGCTTAATTTCTTAGCTCTGTCAGGCACACCAAGCACGGTAGCCCAGTCCAGCTCAGGTTTGATTTGGATCACACAGAATATTGTTTCCTGACATCCACATTAATCTGTTGACCTTCATCTTGAAATTCTTAGTCATGTTCACAATTACAGAAAGACAACTAGCATCTATCATAATCACAGTTCTCTGAATATTTAGTTCACCTAATTTATTTGAGAACTGAAGCCACCAGTTCTTAAAAACATGGGTTGTTATCAGGACATTAGAATTTTTTTCTGGAGCTGAAAAAATAATTTTCTGCCTTTGAGATAATCAGTTTCAGAAGATTTGTCATGACAGATAATTGCTCTTCTGCCTTTCCCTATTTTCACTTCTACGCCATCCTTTTCATTAGACACTTGTCATGTTTTGCATGGAGAATGATTCTGGTTAACCCATGTTTCATCCAGACAAAAAAATAGTAGGCTTCATTGCCCCTGCTTTTGAATATCTTAATGTTGTGCATTATTCACAGAAAAGTGATGCTAGAGGTTACAGTAGGCATTCTCTGTATACTAACGTTTCCCTTACATGTCTGTACCTTAATCTAAACCTTCTTAATTTTAATATCCCCCAAAGGAACTAATAGATCCAGGCCATGCCATAGTTCAAGTGGTTAGTCACTGGCTTCCCACTGCGGCCTGGGTTCTATCCCGGGTCTGGTCAAGTAGGATTTGTGGTGGACAAAGTGGCGCTGGGGCACATTTTCTCTGAATACTTTGGTTTCCCCTGCCAATCTTCATTCCATCAAATTCTCCATCAACATAATCACCCAGGGCAGGCTGCAATAGGCCAATCAGTGGCCGCTGTGCCAAGTGGACCCAGTTGGACTCCACCCTTTTAAGTGATTTAAAAAAAATAGATCCAAGAAATTCCAAGTGAGCCTGATTTGTTTTATTTATGTGTTCATTATTCTTTTTTGTGCATTTGAATTTGAATTTATTTACATTCCCTAAATGCAATTACTTGATGCATGAAACATCTTTCTTGTAACTAAATCTTTATTAAAAATGACCAAGTCCGGTTGTTTTCTCACACTTTGTTATACTTTACATGGCAACACATGATGTAGAGCCACATGTTGTAACAGCATTGGGTCTCTCTTGCAGCATCCTTTGTATAGGTGACTTTCTAATAATACATGCTGCAAGAAATGAAGTAATCTCATGCAGCACCATAATTATGTCATTGTATAAAGAGATATTTCTTTCTCTCAGCAAAGCAGTCATATACTATGTTAGTTATATTATAACATATTTTCATATTGTAACGTGTTTACGTTACAGATCCCACTTCTGACACCAGTTGTCGCGTATCGGGCGTATATCGCGACAAATAAATTCTCGATGTATTCGATGTAGCGAATTTTATTTCACATTCGCACTTACAATCACCCAAATTACAATCTGACGATTACTGCTATCTGCAGTATCACAATTAGTACACTCCAAATGCCACAATACAACTGACTGGCTGACTTTACGTCTCGACTCGGCGACTGTTACTTTATAACTCAGTACAACTCGCTGGTAGCCACATTAGAACTGACTGTGAATAGCCTTCGCTGCGCCTCATGTAGCCTCGATCGGACCATACGGAAAACGGCCGCGTAATAGGCACCCTTGTTGCTATGTCGCTGTGTTGCTATGTAACGCTAGCGGAGGTAACCGCTGTTACTACCGTAACGTCGCCGCTGTTGACTCGCGTTGCCTAGCGACCGCGATATCCCTCGGTGACGTCACCGCGGAGGGGAGTGGCGGGGCGGGAACTCGCCTATTACCGTAAGAACGCGAGCGTTACGCCACCGCCACGCACCGCTGGGGAGGTAGGGGTCAACATGTCACAATATGTTAGTGACTAGAGTCAGATTTTGGATTGATAATAGGATTTACTGAATACTCGTGACTCTCAAATAATGATAACAGTTTCACTAATCTGCACACTCTTCAAGTCACTGTAGCACCCACTGTGTCTTCTCAGTTTCATCTGTCTTCATCAGTTATTGCTTGGTAGCGGCTTCTAACAGTGGAGATTCTCCTTCTGCTGTGCACATTGCCAGCCACCAACTGTGACTGCTGACTCACAACTCACAAACGACTGACTGACTTTTAATTTTGGTCCAGCCACATCGCCTCGGTACAGACTGCATACAAAACAATGCTTCCTGCAGTTTTTTTGTTCCAGTATTCTCCCTTTCAGGGTTCATGGCACAATATATTTCATGCTGTCTTTTATCATTTCCTATCACCATTGGTCTGCATAGTAAGAAATTTCTACTTTATAAACTCAATGGTAATAGGTCCTGTAACTGAATCTGTTAAATTAACTGAGGTGCCATATTTGTAATAGTTCTGTTTCCTATATATGTTGCAGGTTATGGAAGCTGTGTGTGTTATGAAAGGGGTAAAACCTGAAAGAAAACCAGACCCAAGTGGTTCTGGAAGGATTATAGAAGATTATTGGGCTCCTTCATTGAAAGTTCTTGCTGATTTTAAGTTTCTAGAAACACTAAAGACATATAATAAAGACAGTATTCCTCCAGCTGTCATGAAGAAAATCAGGGAGAAGTAAGTGACCAAATGTTATGCAGCATGGAATTAATGAATATACTAGTTCTGTAAATATTAAACAGTGCACTGAATGGACTGGCAAACATATTTAAATGAAAACAGAGTTAAGGCCTCACAGCTGTCTAATATTTTCCATTACCATTCATTGCATTCATTCCATAATCAGGCTTGTTTTTAAAATACAGAAAATTAATAGGTCAAGTGGTAAGGGTAGGAAATCTGCATTTTAAATTTTCAGATGGCAGTTTAGTTCATTACTCTGAACTCTTTAATCAGGTGCATGTGTCTTTCATCCTATCCTTAAATTCCATTATGTAGTTATGAAGACATTGTGCTCTAGGGTAAGGTCTTTCAAAAATCTTGGTCATTGATTTTGAGGATGAAACCAGGAATGACTGTGCTAGTGAAGGCCAGCAGCAATTTAACTGACCAATCAATAAGATCTCTGTCACAGTGGTCTCATTTTCTTGACCATCTGGGTTCAGTATGGATTTTCCTACATGTTTTCTTCTTCCGTTACCACTGACAAAGGTGAAATTTTCTGAATGAAGTGTACACCAGGCCACACTGTGGTTAGGAGCCCATAGTAAAATGCAGTACCCCCTCCCCACCAACACCAATAGAACCAGAGATGAATGCCTTACTGAAGCTATCAGAATTTGAATTGTCATTACAGACATTAGCCACAACAGCAACATGCCTTCTTATCTTAAAACCTCTAATTTCCTATCATCAACATTACCACTGTGACACTCATACACACCTGCGAGGTAGGGACAGCCCTGGTGGCATGCACTATAGAACACTAAGGTTCTTGTGACGATAGGTATTTGAGATGTGTGCAATTTCTATTAACATAGGTTTCAGAAAAAAATATCATGCCCTGTTGGTTTGATGAATATAACTGATGATTACTTAAAGTTGAAAGGTGAAATTTATGGAGACTCTTAATAACATAATTCCATGGAATATAGTCTTTCTTGGGAAAATAAGAGTGCTTAGATGGTCAAGAATGTGTCACTTTGTATGAAATCCAAAGGTTCATTACCATGTTTAGAACAGCCCTTCTGAGCCAGTTAAATGCAGTTGCATTCTTGCACCATATTTATTCCATTTTATTATTATCCTCCCATATGCGCCTAGGTCTCACCCTTCAGATTTTCTGACTAAACTTTTGTTTGCATTCATCATTTCCTCAGAGTGCTAGATGTCCTACTCAGCTCATCCTCCGTGATTTGATGATCTTAATAACATTTCCTAACAGGGTGTTGAGGAGAATAATTGGACCAAAGAGGAATGAAGTGACAGGAGGTTTGAACAAAACTGCAATGAGGAGCTTCATAACTTGTATCCTTCACCAAGTATAATTAGAATGATCAAGTCAAGGAGGATGAGATGGGCAGGGCATGTAGCATGAATGGCGTGTTTGAACTACTGTGGACGCCGTTCAGATTGATAATTGGTTTTATTAACAACCTACAAGTTGTAACTACAATTAATTATAACATTGTTGCAGGGCTACACGATTTGCAAACCCTACACACTAGTCCCTTCACTCTATCTTCAGTAGTCTTCACTTACAGTATAACACAAGAGCTATACAAGTGTCACTGAATTACACACTCCCAATACCCAATGCCTCCTCAATTATCACAAACTATCAGCCCAGCAACGGACTTCCTAGAATCCAGTTACGTGATAGCTACCACTGTTGCATTATGTCGTGTTTACAGAGGCGTTGCTTGGCAACACTGCCGAGAGTTGTGTACTGCTGTGTATTTACCACCGTGGTTCGGCTCGGCTCAGCATGGCACAGTATGGCACGGAGAAACACCACTTTCCTTATTGTTGCATAACCTTGTTCCCCTGTTGCAGAACTTGGCAACTGACCGTTTATCAAGAGTCTGTCTTCATGGTAACTCGTTCCATATCCCATTGCCCAACAACAGTTTGACATGTCACAATATACAGGGTGAATCGTATAGAATCAGCCCGATGAATTTGCTAATAATTCCGCAGGTGATGCATATAACCGCTCACAATTACGACATAATAATCCATGGGCCGTGCTAAGTCAAATGGTGTGTGCATAATCCGGCAAGTGGCAGCCCTTATGCTGCAAGGTCAAGGACAATCCTGAAACGTGTCTGCAGTGGGCAGGCAACAGTCATGGAGTACACTGTTGAACAGCGAGTGTTTCTAATGCCTACTTGAAAACGGCGGACACTTTCAACACCTGCTCTGATCACGGCACACAATCGAAGATAAGATATGTGTAAATTACTTTAATATCTGTATGGTATATTTTATATTACACCTCATTTCATCCAGCCGGTTCTATATGAATCACCCTGTATATATATATATATATATATATACACACACAAACACATTTTTGCTACCTCTTCTTATAAGTATTAAGTAATTTTCCTTTCCCCTTCAATAATGCATATTTAATTAAGATCATTCCCTTCTCACAGGTACATTCCAGACCGAGATTTTGATCCAAACATAATAAAAAATGTGTCAACAGCTTGTGAGGGATTGTGTAAATGGGTGAGAGCTATGGAGGTGTATGACCGTGTCATTAAGATTGTTGCTCCAAAGAAAGCAAAGCTAGCTGAAGCTGAAGCTGAACTTGCTGGTCAGATGGACAATCTTAATGAGAAAAGAGCTCAGCTACAAGAGGTATTGAACCGTTAAAAACTTTAGCTCCCATTATATCGATTGAGCCAGCTGAGGTAGTTTCTGCTAGGTGGTGAATGTGGTGAATGGTTAAGTGGTGTTTTTATTACGGTTCTTTTATATGTACTTTAAGAGAATGTACTGTGCAATTTAATTTCAACATTTCTTGGAAAATGTATCCTTATTTTAAGTATTATTTTCCATTTATAAGGAATCGAGTGGAAGTTCATTCATAGTCCCTAATATTAATCTTGAGTTGAAAGGGTCACTAGTGCATATCTCAAGCGTGCTCAAGAGTCACTTCTAACTCTAGGAACTTCTTACTTGGCTATTACTCTTCTCCCATCCCCTGTTTACTTTTAAGAACATACAAATTATTTTATATTATGTTTGAATCATACAAAATATTCTTGTGGCAAACAGTCCATGCAAATGAATAATTAGGTCATCAACAATGATGTAACAACCTGTGCTCTGAAATGAGAAGGTATTCAATTTCTATGCTGAAAAAGTATAATGAATTCTACCAGCATACTGATGCACTGAGAACTTGACAGTAATCTACAAAGGAAGGCATCTTCGCTCATTGAAAGTATCATATTAAAACGGCTCTTATTTATGCACATTGAGCATCAACCACTAGGAAGCAATATCACAAAATGAATTAAGTTAAATGCAGGCATGTAATTAAAATTGGGGGCACACGTTAGCATAGTTGGTTGAGGGGCTATGCTACAAGCCAGAAGATCGCGGGTTAAAGTCCCAATGAGGTCATTGGATTTTTTTCAATTGACCTAATCCTTCCAGCTGCACTATGGCCCTGGGATTCACTCAGCCTCTAACAGAAATGAGTACCAGGAATTAATTAAAGAATTTTCCTGGGGAGTAAAGCACGGCCAGTGCATAAGGCTGACAACCTTGCTGCCATCTTTGAGCTGATTGTCTAGATAATGTGGGACCCTCAACGTCTCACAACCCTATGGGCCTTCAAGGCCTGGTACAGGGATAGCTTTACTTTTTTTTTACTTATGTTACAGTTAATTAAAATATGACTCTTGAGTCAGTTGTTGGAGTTATGTCAGTTTATTTTCATGAATATATGACAAGGACATTAATACAGAATTTGAGAATTAGGGCAGGTTACTTCCTCGACAGGTATGTATTCTTAATGCTGTTTCTATTTTAAGTTTACCTGACTACATCTATCAAAGATAATTGGAATTTACCATACATCATCCTAAATACCTTTGCAGCCTAAATTTCTCTACTCTTAATGTCTCTTTTTTTGACAATTTATTTGTTGCCCATATAAGCAACAATTTTAAAGGTGCTCTTTTAATATTTTATTGTTAAGAGGGTAGACTTGTATATGTATTTACATCACTGTACTGTTTATATTTATGCGGGAAATAATTTAACATATTGTTTAATGAAGTGTAATATTTCAACAACAGTCCAACAAGAATTTGTTATAAATGAAATTCTGGTAGTACTGTTTGTGTTTGGTAAGCATCGTGTCAGTGTCCTAAATAAGTTTAAATGTAATTCCAGGTAACAGATAAACTTCAAGCCCTTAATGATGAATTTGCTGCCATGACAAAGAAAAAGAAGGAACTAGAGGATGCTATTGATATTTGTTCTCAAAAGTTAGATCGTGCTGAGAAGTTAATAGGTGAGTAAAAATTTTTATTTGTTTTCAAGATACTGACCTCCAAAAATACCTATTTAATTAGCAGTTCAGAATACAAATTTGAAAGTATGCAGTTCCAGGAAGATGATTCGATACCTACCTTCTCTCTGATGCATTTGTCAATACAGAGAGATTATTATAAGTTCTAAATTAATAATGATAACAAACTAACTAACTAACTTCATGGAGCTGAGCCCTTCTTGAGAAGCTGCCAGTTGTACACCTACTCAGGAACTTCCAAAAATTTTATGGAACCTGAAGGTTCATTACCGTGTTCACAATATCCTGCCACTGGTACCTGTCATGAACCAGATAAATTCAATTCATATCACCCCATACTATCTCTAAGATACATTTTAATATTATTCACCCATCTACATCTTGGTCTTCCTAGTGGTCGCTTTCCTTCTGGCTTTCCCACCAGTATCCCATATGCATTCCCCTTCTCCCCATTCATGTTACATGCCCTGCCCATCTCAACTTCTTTGGCTTGATCGGTCTAATTACACTTGGAGAAGAGTACCAGTTATAAAGCTCCTCATTATGCAGTTTTCTCCCACCTCCTGTCACTTCATCCCTTTCTGCTCCAAATAATCTCATCAGCACCCTGTTCTCAAACTCTGTCCATATATGTTCTAACCTTAATGTCAGAGACCAAGTTTCACAACCATACAAAAGATGTAAGAAGATGCTGGATGACTTTGGGGACAGAAGAGGATAATTTTATTTGAAGGAGAAAGCTCTAGATCACATTAAGTGGAGGAACTGTTTTGGAAGAGACTGTGCACCTGTCTTATGACAGATTACTGATGAATGAATATTTGCAGTGATTTGTGTTAAAGAGATGTTCATCAGCCAGGAATGAAAGGAACATGAAAGCTTTTTCTCATCAATGTAAATTTTATATCTTCCATTATTACAGCTGTAGTACAGCCCATGACTGCCTCTGTGGTCTAGTGGTCAGAGTTCCTGGCTACAGATCCAGAGCTCCGGGTTCGATTCCCAGCACTATCAGATTTTTTCTGAGAAGTAGTGGGTCTGGAACGGGGTCCATTCAGCCTTGTGATGATAATTGAGGAGCTGTTTCAAGGAAATAGCTGCTCTGGTCTAGACTACCGAAATTAACAGCTGTGGGGATTTGTTGCGCTGACCATGCGACACCCTCTGTCCACTAAAGGTGGCACTAACTTCGCCAACCAGCGGCAGTCACTTGGTCAGTATAGTTCGCTTGCAGACTAAAACCAAGGAGTTTGTTTTGTTTTTGTAGTACAGCCCGTGGGTTGAGGTGTGACTGTGTCAGTGAAATGACACTTCCCAACTGCCCCCCTTATAATTCTTGTCAAAGAAGATGATATCAGTATTATACATATTTGGCATATCTCAGGCATGCATTCAGTGAAACCAGTGGCACTTGTTTGGTCATGGAGGACACTGCTTCGGTTCCAGTGGATGATGATGTTCAGGTTCTCTCCAATGGAGAAGTATACTAGTCTGCAGTTACTCATTTGCTGAATATTTTGAAGGGTTTATAAATGACAGGAAGAAATCTTTGAAGAATGACTGCAAAGAGGTATGAGTGAACCTGGTTTCCAGTAAATGAGTGATTTAGGTATTATAATACCTAAATCACTCAATGATAATTATCATTGTGTCACAGAACACATGGTTGCAGAAGAAAAAACACTCTAAACTATTTATCAAGATAAATTCCCATATATAGACATAGTGTGCAATATGAGATTACATATGTAAGATGTGAGGCTTTCACGGCGGTGACTAAGAAGAAAGAAGTCTTCTGGGATTTGGCACTGTGTATATGTGGTGTTAACTGACGTTTCGGAGGAACGTATCGCCTCCATCTTCAGGGTAGAAGGAAAAATATAAGAAATCTGCAAGCTAAGAGACTGTGAGGACTGGTAAAAGCAGACTGGTGTTGGAAATATACACAGCTATGTGAAAGCAGTGAAGGAAAGGGGGAAGGGCAAGTCTACAAGTGAAATCAGTATTGTCGGAGGGGGGGGGGAAGAGCTGGCACAAGCTTGTAGACTTGCCCTTCCTCCCTTCCTTCACTGCTCTCACATAGCTGTGTATATTCCCAACACCAGTCTGCTTTTACCAGTTCTCACGGTCTCTTTGCTTGCGGATTTCTTATATTTTTCCTTCTACCCTGAAGATGGAGTCGATACGTTCCTCCGAAACGTCGGTTAACATCACATATACACGGTGCCAAATCCCAGAAGACTGCTTTCTTCATGAGATTACATAATTCATAGCATGTATTAAGAGGTAAAAGGAAAAGCTATCTCTGTAGCAGGCTGTGGAGACACATAGGTTTGTGAGATGTTGAGGCTCCCACATTTTTCTAGGCTGTCAGCTCACAGATGGTGATGAGCTTGTCAGGCTTGCCTGTTGGCTGACCTTTAACCCTAGGAAGATTTCTGGTGCTCATTTCTGTTAGAGTCTGAGTTGATCCCAGGGCCATGGAGCAAGCTAGAAGGACTGGGTCAATTGAAAATTTCAATGACCTCATCAGGAATTAAACCCAAGGCCTTTTGGCTTGTAACATAGCGCCTCAACCAACTATGCTACCACATGCCCCTTAGCATTCCTTGACCTGGATAATTGGGACTTGGCTTTGGTTTAATGCGGTGCTTTTAGGCAGATTTTATGAACTGTACCTCACCATTTTTAATTTGACTCTTCCAAGGCTCAATCATTTCTTAAAGAGGAGATTAAATATAGACTTCAAGATTTGTTTTGCATTCTGTACAAAAAAGAATTCAACAGCGCTCTTATATTTTTTTATATACTCAGATTGGTATTCTCAATGTTATTTCTCAATGTACTTATTCTATAAGTAAAAGTGGTTCTCATCAAAGGATGTATTTATGTATTTTATTCTTTTATTTTCAATGTCTAAATCTTCAAAAGAAGCAGATGGTGGATTGTTAGTGAATAATGAATTGGGTGCAATGTGAAAGTAAATGGTCATGGTCTAGTTTAAGACACTGCCTTGGCATTTGAAGGGAGAGACTGATGAAAATCTCAGAACACCTTAGTCAATGTAGGTGACCTCTAGACAGGGATTCAGATCCAGGACTGGATTACAAAGCTTCCTAACAGCTAACCATGACACTCATTAAGGTTATATGAAATATGAAGGAATGAACTATTAGGAAATAGTGACTGTAAGTTTTTATCTCACATCCAGTTCAGAACTCTGGTCAAGGACCCCCCAAGGCTCACAGTTCTTCAGTTATCATTCTACGTTGCCTGTATGCATTGCACGAATAAATCACATACATCTGTCTAAATTTTAAAATTATATTGGTTTATTAGTAGATTGGGGCACACGGTAGCATAGTGATTGAGGCACTATGCTACAAGCTGGAAGGTCGCAGGTTCAAGTCCCAATGAGGTTATTGGATTTTTTCCAATTGACATAACCCTGAGGCCAACTCAGCCTCTAACAGAAATGAGTACCAGGAATTAATTAAATAATTTTCCTGGGGAGTAAAGCGTGGGCGACACGTAAGGCTGACAACCTTACCGCCATCCTTGAGCTGATTGTCTAGATAGCGTGGGAACCTCAACGTCTCACAACCCTATGGGCCTTCACGGCCTGATACAGGGATAGCTTTACTTGCTTTTTTATTAGTGGATTAAAACTAGTCCATTCTGCCAAATGACATGGTTAAGTGGTTAGCATTTCTGCTTCTTTCTGGAAGATGCTGAGTCAAAATCTTGACATGGAGGTCGACTTTCCTGACTGATATATCTTGTAATTTTCTCAGTTCCTCCAGGCTATGCCTAGAAAGTAGTGTGTGATAATCAAGAGCTGTTCTATTTTGCATTCATATGTCATGTCATTCCTAGTCATTCAACTGTTTAATAAATTATAAGCAACATTTATAGTTGAAGAAAGCAGTCTTCTGGGATGTAGCACCATGTAGATGTTGTGTTAACCGATGTTTCGGAGGGACATATCTCCTCCATCTTCAGGGTAGTTGATGGTGCCATTAGGAGTCTCACCACAATAGAATCAACCACTCAGCCAATGTTAAATAATCTATACAGTTGATAGAGTGGCATTTATTAACTCACCATTCTAAACAATTAATTCTTCCATTTCAGACAGTCCTAAATAACCTCTGCTATTGATACAGCATCATTACATAAGTTATTAAGCAAACAGTAAGACTATATGACTGCATTAAATGTGACCTGTTTATTATAGGTAGCTTGGGAGGTGAGAAGGCCCGTTGGAGTGAAGCAGCAAAATTTTTACACGGAACACTGCACAATGTAGTTGGAGATGTTCTGTTGGCAGCAGGGGCTATAGCTTATTTTGGACCCTTCACAGTGGATTTTAGACAGGTACAATTTATAACTTGAGTGAAAAATATACAGAGTTGACACAGTTAACTATTACATTATTGGTGTTTTCCACGACTTATATCACTCCACACAAATCTTCTCAGTCTATTTCCACTGGTCTTCACTATCCATTTCCTGGCAACAAATTTATGAACCTATAAAAGTCTCATTAAATTACACACTCCCAACATCAATGTTCTACTGCACACATGAAGTCTTCAAAGGCTGACTTCTTGTACTCTTCTGTACTCCTTGAGTTTACTGCTTCCTTGCTGTACTCCTCCAGCTTACCACTGTACTCCAGCTGCTTACTGCTCAGCTTAGGAATTCTGATCGCTTACATAGACACAGCACGGTACGGACCTACAGGAAACACATCACATGATCGCTATCCGGCTGGTCCATTGGCACTCGGCTAGATCTACAGAAAATACATGTCATGTGATTTCTAAGCACTGTTATGTGATGTCATTGTGCATGTGCAAGCTGCAGAGACAAAGAAAACACTGCTGCTCTGTTGTTTGCCATGTGTGTATTGCTATTGTTGTCTGGCAGTGGATTTACATGTCACAATATACTTCATTTTGTATGTGTAAATAATAATAGGGATTATGAAACTCACAGATCATATGTGCCCATAAACACTGAGTTACGAATTCTTTACACTGCTTCTTGTAAATTCAGTGGGCCCTTGGTTTACAATGATTTGATATATGCTTGTTTGAATATCCACCAGTTTAAAAATGTTCTAATATTTCCTTTGTTTACCCCAAAGAACCATTCTCAGCCTCTTACAAATGGCGAACTGGAAGATTTGACTGCATAATTGACTCAGAAACAGGAGCAGAAAGAAGAAGAAGAACCATTTTTAGGTCTATAGAAATGCATGACCAGCAGGAAGTTCAGACAGATTGAAACTTACCTGCAGAGGTTAGGTGACATTGATGCTGACTGGGAACAGAACAGTTCCATTAGAAGCAGAATCATTGAAGTGCTGCAGTCTTTTTGCCATGTTCCACAGGACAGGAGGCATCATGCAAGGCAAACAACTTCCCTTTCTTATTTTAGAAAGAATTCTGAAGATCCACAGCCAGGGCATTCCTCTTGTCTGTGACACCTACATAATTGTATTTTATTACTGAATAAATGTGATATAAATCCATGTATGTAATGTTAATGTTTAAAATATATAAAAGTTTTATATTATTTTATGAAAGAGAGTTTCTAATTTTGTATATCAGAAATGCATCCCATTGAAATACTCATACATTATAATACTTCATTTGTGCTAATTGGATATATGCCAGCATCTCCAGGAACCTAACACTGGCAAGAAGCAAGGGTCTCATCATCATCATCAGTAATCTGTCAAGACAACAGGTCCACAGTCTCTTCCAAAACAATTCCTCCACTTAATGCGATCTAGAGCTTTCTCCTTCAAATGACAGTATCCTCTTCTGTCCCCAAGGTCATCCAGCATCTTCTTATGTCTTCTTCCTCGTCTTCTTGTCACTTCTGCAAGGGTGTACTCTATTTAAATGGTAGCAATTCAAATACGAGTATAGCAGTTCCTCCTGATTGTACTTGTCAGCTGTGGATTTCAAGTAGCCATAGTTTTCCATTTGTATCCATTTTTTCAGACGTGTTTTGTTTTATACAGGGTAGAAATGAAAGGTGCAGACAAACTTTGATCGTGAGTTCCACATACCAAAACAAAAAAATGCCATATTGACATGTTCTGACATATTGAATTTGAGTAATAGCTGAAAGAATATGCCCCACCATTACAGCAAGTTTCAAGACAATTTTTATTTCTCATTAGGGCCTCTAGTGCCCACAGCTTTATTTTCCTTAAGATACAACTTATGTAGTTTATTTAGATCTCCATAAATTACTGAAATGTCATCAATTTTTTTCTTCAGTAAGTTTTGAAAAAAAATTGTCATTTTGTTTTCTGGGGCTTATCTGAGGGACCTCTATTTTTGAAGCTAGGATGTTCACTTTCACCAGTACACTGGATAAAATACTGAATACTAAATGTGACAAAAATTCATCCAGCCATTGAGGTGTTAGTGAGGTACACAGCTTTTCATATGTATGTGCATACATGTAGACATACAGCTTCCCAAAAAAAACACTTTTTAATATTCAAGGAAGCTCAGAATGTGTAAATCTGCCAAATTGTTGAGATTGATTGCTTTTTTTTTTTTCCATGAACAGTGCTTCCTCATACATGAGGAATATGAGAAAGTAAGAAGTGGTGGACTCCATATAAATATACAAATTTTCTGAACACATGGCTGTAATGGCATCCTAAATCACTTGTCTATTTAGATTACAATTGCAATGTGGGTTTTTGTGACTGTTTTTTATATTGTAACACGTTTAGTTTACTGAAGACGCCATTCGGATTGTTAATTTGTTTATTTAACAACCTACAAATCTTGGCTACAATTAATTATAACAACGTTTCGGGTTTACACAATTTACAAACCCTATACACAAATCAATTCACTCTGTCACGATTCACTCGTTACAATTCAGTTCAACTCATAATTTGCCGCTGGCTAGATTCCAACTCAACTCGTAGGCTGCTGCCTTGAGAACTGTCACTGCGGCAGCTGATACACTTTTACTTGTTCACTGCTGACTGGAGAACTGTTCACTGCTGACTTGAGAACTCGTTCACTGATGACTTGAGAACTCACTTCGGCGGCTGATACACTTTTACCCGTTCACTGTTGATTGGAGAACTGTCTTCGGCCGCTGATACACTTTAACTTGTTCACTGCTGACTGGAGAACTCGCTTCGGCGGCTGATACATGTATAACTTACTCCGGCGGCTGTGTAGTTCCCTTATATAGTTGCAGCGCCCGCCTGTTATGCAATGGGTACCGCTGTTGCCTGTTACCCGTGTCACAGCTGCGTTGCGTGTTATATCACTGCGGGGAGTGGAGCGGGGTGTTGACTCGCCTATTACCATAGTAACGACAGCGCTACGATGCCGCCACGTACCGCTGGAGAGGGAGGGGCCCTCTGTTGTGCAACATGTCACAATGTTTTGACCTGTTTTATTTTTAAACATATTACATGCAAGTAGCGTTTTTTTCAGAGAAGGCAAAGGCAACTTTGTTAGGCATTGATGACTGTCACCAGTGGCTGCACAATTCTTCTAACTCCCAGTACAACATACCAGCTTTGTCTTGCCAACAACGGTATTTTTCAGGAACATAATAACTGTAGTTGATGAAGGATTGCTGTATGCCTCTTTCACTAGATACATTAGGTGAAACTTATTTACAGGATCAAAAATATAGTGAAGTATGATGGCAAATCCGAGACATGAATGTTTTGAATTGTGTGGTGACCCACCAATGGGTTACTTTGACACAGACAGGTTAAGAATTTAATTTAGAGAAGAATTCTGTAATATGTGGGTTGTTAATTAAAATTTTTACCTACAGGAACTTATGACTGGCTGGAACAAGTTGTGCACAAAACTTGGCATTCCTTGTGCTGATAACTTCTCACTGATAGCAACACTTGGTGAACCTGTTGTTATTAGAGCATGGAATATTGCTGGACTTCCTGTTGACAGTTTCTCTGTTGATAACGGCATCATAGCCTTCAGTACTCATAGATGGCCATTAATGATTGATCCACAAGGTAAATCCACGGTAGACGATAGAAGGGAACCGAAAACTAATGAAACACATGTAAAGTCCAGATGAAGCATAATATTTTCTCCATTCTTAATCTATTATTTCCTACTTTAAAAGGTACATTATATGGCCTGGAATCATATGTAAATTGCCTGAGGATAACATTATTTTTAAATGGTCACTAGGTAAGACTTGTGGGGTAGATCTTATACATACATTTTATCCACAAGTGAAAGGCATAAGAAAAGCTATCCCTGTAACAGGCCATGGAGGCCCATAGGGTTGTGAGAGGTTGAGGCTCCTACATTTTCTAGACAATTGGCTCACAGGTGGCATTGAGGTTGTCATCCTTATGCGCTGGCCACCCTTTAGCCCCCAGGAAGATAACTGGTACTCATTTCTGTTATAAGCTGAGTCAACCCCAGGGCCATAGTGATGCTGGAAGGATTAGGCCAATTGAAAAATCAAGTGACCTACAAATGTTGGGCTTTCCAAGGACTTTTCTCTCCCTTTGTTCCCTACTTCAAGGACACAAGACCTTAATGATTTCTCATATGAGCCCTATGAAAATCTTGTGTCCTATCTCTCTGATGACTCTTATCGTTCCATTCTCTAAAGACGATATGCTGTTGGCCTTTTGGCTGTGACTGTCTATCCAGCACCCTCCAGTGCTGAGTAAGATGTCCTGAGCGGCCTCTGTAGTCTAGGGGTAACGTTCCCACCTCATGACTCAAGGTACGCGGGTTCAAACCCAGCGGAGGTCGTGGAATTTTTAAGGGCGGAAAAATTCAGGGACTCCTCCTCCAGGAGGGACTTCAAGCCTTGGGTCCCGTGTTGTAGATTTACGGCACGTAAAGGATCCTCATGTCTCTAGGAGACCTCTGAGCAAAATTTGGCAAAATGTTTCCTGCCCAAGTAGTTTCCAATGCCTCCGGTAAATGGGGAAGTTATCGGGTACCAATGCCAGTAGAGGGCCGACCTCGCTGGCAGAAAGGGGAGATAGCGGGCACCAGTATCGGTAGGGTATGGCGACAGTAGAAATTAAAGGGGGACGTACAATAGACTATTAGTCGTGGTGCATGGGGAAACCCACCCCCTCTATACGGAATAACTGAAGATGTCCTGAGTTTAAGGTCCTTAATCAGTCTCAGCAGCTCATCAGGACTCATCTCCACCTTGTCCTTTTTCCTAAGAGCCACCTTAACTGCTTGGAGAGGTTTCAACCATCAGCTGCCCTCAGCTTGACTCCTGAGCCCAGCCTATGATTATCTGCGGCTTTTGCCCACCACTGACCCAACACTTGATAAGCAGCTTCCTCCAGCCTGAAGGTTCTTAGGTGTCCCATGAAACAGCCCTCCAAATTCTTCAAAGATGAGATATTGTACATCCTCTGTGATCTAATCAGGTTAATTTTCCACAGCATAGCTATCTTTATATTAGCCAAGGTCCAGCTTCTCAGCATTTTTAGAGGATTGACTCCTTCCATAAGGAAGTAAAAATCTTTTCTATCAATAAATATAAAATATGAATTTTAAAATTAGTTTTCAACATCCAAATTTTTTAGTCACCCATTTCAAACTGCAGGTTTGCTTGAGTGTCCTCACTCGCCTCTACTCCTCCTTCAGTCTACCAAAAATTTGCAATGAAATGTATGCTGTTATCTTATGTTTTGAATCCTTTGCACCTTTACTTTCACAGCATGTCCCATTTGTAATCCCCCAATATATATTTCTTAAATTCTCTGTACATTGAAAGTCAGAAGACCCAGATCTTGAGACTCTTCATTGGGAATTACTTATTTAAGAGATTGCAGCATGTATGCCTATAAATGCACGTTATGTAATTGAGGCAAAATTGTTTCTTTGTCATATGGATGATTTGCTAAAAGAGGTTTATAAGATGGTGGCTTTTGATTATAGTATATTTCTTTTAAAGCATTTTATTGTAATTTATTCTTTTTCAGGTCAGGCTAATAAATGGGTTAAAAACATGGAAAAGGGAAGCAGATTACAAGTAATCAAGTTAACTGATACAAATTACATTCAAGTCATGGAAAATGCCATTCAGATTGGGCTACCAGTAATTTTGGAAAATATTTCAGAAGAAATCGATGCTGTGCTTGGTAAGGAATGCAAATTCCAGCCCTCATCATCGTAGAATAATTTATTTATTATGTAGAGACTTTTTGGCCTCAAATGTATGTTATAATTATAAATATATTTAAACATAAAAAAATGGATACAACAAGGCGCTTTCCTAGTTTTCTTTGTATATGCTACAAAGAACATTGTCCTGATGGTCTAGGCAGTGTGCATGAATGACCTGATTACAACCATGAAATGTAAGAACGCAGGACACAGGGAAATCCTTTATGTAAAAGTTAAATAAAAGGCATTAAATTGTTAAAGGTTTTTACCTCAGAGTAAAATGTTTTCACAAAATATATACGATCTCTTTGCCCCTTTGTTTTGACACAGTGCCTAAGCTTCAATTATGTGGGATATAGATTGCACATTTACCCTTGTTTCTGATTGTAGAGTTTAGAAAAATAATATAGGAAAGCTTTGATTTTTAAAATCAGTGGTGGAGTGTTGGTTTTCAGAAGTTTTAATCAAATCGCGAGGCAGGGGCAGGGGGTCATAAAAATATTGATAATTGACCAAGAACATCATACAGCAACTATGCAAGTCTGATTTAAACTTTAAAAATGTGAGGAATAAAATAGGAAATAAATGTAAACTGAGAAGTACTGGTTAGAAACTACTGAGCTGATCTAATTTTAATTAGACCGTATGCTTCAGTTCGTTGCAATGACCTTTTTCAATAAAGTATATATTACAGGGTTACTGAAGTTCAGATGTTTTCTAATTCTTGAAGAATATTCTTGTCATATGTCATTCATAATCACTTATTGAGACTCTCCCAAGTCTGTGTGCTGCATAGGTGAGTAGGGATCTTCTCCAGAACATAAATGAACGTTCAACAGATGTACCAGTTGTTTGAATGTTTGATAAAAGGGCTGATAATTTGGTGGCTTCTGGTACTGCTGTACTCAGATTTGAAGTGAGTAAATATTTCAGCAATCTGACATGTTACTTTGTAAACATTCTACCAATGATAAAAAATAGAAAATTTAGTTTTCAGAAGAAGAGGTTCAAAATACCATCTGCATGATTTCAATAATGATTCGTAAACATTAGTAGTATTTGAAATTCTTGAAGCCCAGAAAGGGAAAAAATTTGTAGTGTGAAAATTTTGGGATATTGATTGGTCCACTGTCCTTTCACAATGTCAATATTTCACATTACAGCCAGCAACAAGAATTTTTTTCGATTATTAATCATTTCAATATGTTGTCTCTCAGCTGGGAATTATTAGTGTTCTATGTGTCACTGTGAGCTGCTCTCATTTTCTGATCAAACTCTTACACAATTATTACATTTCTCTTTCCAAAAATTTGGAAATTCTTCCACTTTTTTAGCATGGTAACTGATATCATTACTTTTAGCTTCCATGCCTATGAAAAGCATTTTGGTTTGCAGATGTACTCCTGAAAATACTATAAGATAAAAATTGAAGCCAAAATCTTGAAAAATATCATAATATCCTTGGGCAGAAATCCCACTGTTGCTTGCAAGCTCTGTGAGCACCAAGCAGTTGAGGTGTGTTAACATTCCTCATTTCGATAACATAGTGTCTGGAAAAATTAGTTTGTGTAAATTTACAGAGCCAGTTCTGGTGAAGCAGATTTACAGGCAAGGAGGTGTGGATATGATTCGACTGGGTGATAGAATACTGGAATATTCACCTGATTTCCGATTTTACATCACAACAAGACTGCGCAACCCGCACTATCGCCCTGAAATTGCAGTGAAGGTAAATTTGTTAGCTAAATGGATTAATGACCATTTGAAATTGAAATATTTTTAGGTAACTAACTACTAGTACTTTGAATTACATAACCCAGAGGTATGAGTGACATCATCTCTAATGTTCTTGTATTTACTTATTGCAACCTCATCAATTTTGTCTTCCAGATATCCCCTCTTTTTATTCCTGAAATGTCTGCTGGTTTTGCATCTTATATTGTTCACATTATCCCCATTTATTTCACTTGGATCCTGTAACCACCAGAGGACCCACCAAACATACTTCGGACTTGCTTGCACATAGAAAATAATATAAAGATTGTTGCCTGTCAGTGACAGTAACATGTTTACTGCTGTTACCTAGCAATTGTCACCTCCTTCGTCTTTTGTTTCTTATACTTAATATTCTCTCTTTGGTCTGCTCTGATATATTAGGTAGATGTTCAGAATAGACAATAATTAGTCTCCATCTGAGAAGGAGGAGGAGGAGGTCTGCTACTCTGTTAAGTCAGAGTGCTTATGCTGAAAGGCTGACCACTCCTCTCGTTGAAGAGGAGACCCTGTTTCTAAAACACATAAATGTCTAGGAGAGAACAAAAGTCTTTTAGCTGTTACACTTAGTGTTCTCACATCGGTCTGATCCAATGCATTATGCAGATATTCAGCACAAATAATATTCAGCCTCTGTCTGTGAGAGAGAGTGAATGAGGAAGTCCATTGCTTTGCTCAGTCAGAGTCTGCGAAGACAATCGCTACTCTTGTTGAAGAAAAGACCCCATTGCCTAGTGGTGATAAGGTGGGGACACACAGGCACAGAGACACACAAACAGGAAAAAATCATATAAGCCTACTTTAGGAAAGCATGCTAAAAAAGCGAAAATATGGTAAATGCTTAACCCAAGGAAGCCAGTATTGTTCCATAAAATTTGAAGCACTAAAGCATATGCAACAAAGTAAATGACATTAGACCACTGAAATAACTGTCAGAAAAGTCACAATGGAAGTATTCTACAAAAGAAATTAATAACAAAAACACCATTATGTCTAAGGGCACAGAAGACAAAGTGTGCAGTGCAGTGCAGTGCAGTGCAGTGATCTCCCCAATAACAAAAATGTTGCTTGATGATGGTTCATGTGTGGCCAAAACATGTTGCAACAAGGAATGAATGTGTAAGTTTAATGACACTTAAAGTATTTAACAAGCACTTTTAGTGTATTTTATGTAAGGTTATTGTTCCATTATAGACTGTATACTTGCAGTCTAAAAATGATCACATCTGAAGTCTTAATTACTTATTTAGAATTCTTGGAGTAAGATATAAGATATGGGCTGCACCATAGCTCCAGTGGTTAGTCACTGGCTTCCCACCGCGGCGGCCCGGGTTCAATCCCGTGTCTGGTCAAGTTGGATTTGTAGTGGACAAAGTAGCACTGGGGCTGGTTTTCTCCAAGTACTTCGGTTTTCCCTGCCAAATTTTCATTCCACCAAATTCTCCATCATCATACTCACCAGGGGCAGGCTACAATAGGCCAATCAGTGGGTGCCATGCCAAGTGGACCCAGTTGGACTCCACCCCCCACTAAGCAAAATGATATAGGATATGCTTTCATTTCTTCATAATATCCCTCAAAGATATGATCTTTGTCTTTTGTGTCCCATTTTGTTCACAATTTTCTTGGAACATATGCAAAAAGTGTGCCCCCAAAAACTCTGAGGTGACACAGCCTGTTTGTTGTGTTGTGACGGTCAATAAAGAGTTGTATATTGGGTAACCTAAATTGCAGCATTTATTTCACACAGTGGAAGAAGGATTTCACAACAAAATAACCACTAGAACACCCACACATCCTTCGTCTTGTACCCCTTAGGCCATAACCTGCTGTGGGTTTTAGTTTTAATACAAGGTAAAAAGAAAAAAAAAATCTCCACAGGTAGCAGAAATGTTTACATGATTCTTTTTCACTACAGAAAAGAAAATCTACATGTTTATGAGGTGTGCAGACATAACAATACAAAAATTATTAATACAGGATTGCCAACTGACACAACTGGCATAGTTATTGGATTACTCTACAATATTACAAACAAATCTCATTCAGAGATGTTGCTATGATTAGGCATTAAAGTTGAATGACCTCTGTTAAACAGGTAACATTACTTAACTTCATAATTACTCCACAAGGGCTTCAGGACCAGCTGTTAGGCATTGTGGTGGCGAAAGAACGACCTGATCTGGAGGAGAAGAAGAATGAAATCATTATTGAAAGTGCCAGTAACAAGAGGCAGCTTAAGGATATTGAAGATAAAATTCTAGACGTTCTTTCCGCATCTAAGGGAAATATACTAGAGGATGAAACAGCATTACAAATCTTGTCTTCATCAAAAGTATGTTATAATCGAATTGCTAAATATTGAAACACTACTGTAAATACCACTTTGCAAACAAAGTCACAGAAAAAAAATATAAGAAGACCCAGTCTTTTTAGCACCTTCCTTCTGTATACATATGTGCACATACACATTTCTTCTTCTTCTTCTTTCACCATCATCATCATCATCTACTTCAAGGTAGGCTTTTATTAGCCCATTTTGTCCCAAACAATATCCTCCAATTTTATTTTCAGTTGTCCAGCATTTCTTTGTCTGTCTGGTTGGTAATTTTTGGGTCAGTCTTGAAAGTCCATTCTTAAGATGTGATTATGCCACTTCTTTTTAGTCTTGGAATCTTTCTACCAAAGCATATATTTATAATGCATTGCATCTTGTTGCACTGCATACATGGTCTATAAGTGCATACACAGTCCTATCTTAAAAAGTGCATTTCTGCTGTTTCAGTTTTCCTCCTTGTGGATCTATTCAGAGCCTAGTTTTCACACCCATACATGAGCAAAGGAGCTGGAATTGCCTTATGAAATTTAACCTCTGTATGCTCTCTAGGTTTATTTTTATCGTTTCTTGTGTTGTTTCACACGACTGTTGAAATCTAGAAACCTTGAAATCTTCAAGGTCTTTATCATAGCTGTGGGGTATGTTGCAGCCCAGGTAATCAAAATTCTCAACGTTTTCCATAGTTCTATCATTTATTACAATTTTTATCTCACTGGACATTTACATTGAAACCCACAACTTTTGTTTGTTGAAATATTCCAGGTTGTAATTATTTGTTATTATTCGTAGCTGATGAGTAGCTGTTTTTAAATCATACTCAGAGTCTGAAAATATGACTTCATTGTCAGCACACACAAAAACACCTGTACATGTGCATCTCTGTGTGTGTGTGTGTGTGTGTGTGTGTGTGTGCGTGTGCAGTTTTTAGCAATGAATTTTCAAGCACTGATGCTTAGAAAAATATCACTTATGTAGCATGTCATAAGTGAGTAACAATCTTTTGTTTCAGAGTGTTATGTGTATTCTGTGAGTACTGATAATATTTTAATGTATGTACAAGCGTTGGATAAAAAGTGGTGGCAACACTTGTAACATGAAAGATGTGCGTCAGGTGTCACTAGTGCCATCTGTAGCTGATAGCAGAAGTTCAGTTGAAGTAGTGCAGTGAGTGGCTCTGGTTGTGTTTCATTGAGTTGCATTGTGCATCATCTTGAAGTGCAGAAGCCCAGTTCAAGCACCCTAGCAACATGTTTACAAAACAAGAACAACGCTCCTGGATAAAAATTGAAGTTGCACGAGGTCATAGTGCACAGAACTGTTATCAGGGACTGCAATAAACATGTGACGATGCTGCTTTACCATATCGCACAGTGACACGATGGGTGAAATTGTTCAGTGAAGGGAGGGCTTCCATTCAGGACGACCCCATGTTGACAACCACACAATTCAGCTTCTTGCTTCTTTGCTGGATGTCGATCATCGATGGGCTGGGTGGGAGTTAGCTGCTGAGGTAGGCATATGTCACAAAACCATGGTATGCATTCTGCACAATATTCTTGGATACCGCAAAATTGCAGCGCATTGGGTACCCCATACAATGTCCAAGGTGCAACAATGGCAACGTTATGCAATTGCACAGGACTTGTTGGACCAGTACCAGAGGGAAAGTGATGACTTCCGTGGAAGGGTTGTCACTCTGGATGAAACTTGGGCTCGCTCATATGAACCACACTTGAAACAACAATCAAATGAATGGAAGCATCCTGGCTCTCCTCATCCAAAGAAAGTGCGCCCTACACAGAGTAATGTGAAGGCAATGTTCATTGTGGCATATGACATTGATGGAGTGATACTGCACTACACTGTACCTCAACAACAGACAGTAAACACTGCCTATGACTGCAATTTCTTGTGTAATCATCTTCGTCCAGCACTCAGGAGAAAACGACGATACTTGTTGGCAACGAACCCCATCATCCTTCATGACAATGCAAGGGCTCATACTGCTGATGTTGTCAAGGATCTCCTTCACCGCTGGTGATGGGAGATACTGCAACATCCGCCGTTCTCACCCAATATGAGTCCTTGCGATTATGACCTCTTTGCCAATATGAAAGAACCATTGCCAGGGAGACATTACCACCCAAGAAAGAAGATTATTTGTGCTGTAGGGCAGTCACTGCTGAACAGCAACAGAAGTGGACGCACTGTTGATGTACAACGCCTTCCACAAATTTGGCAGAAGGTGGAATACATGGGGGACGATTATATTGAAGGAATGTAAATGGGTTTACCTCAGGTAATAAAGTCATTTCAGAACTATAGAGGTGTTGCCACCAATTTTTATCTGACCTATGTATATGAAGTGCTGTTAGTACTTATCGTGGTCTATAACCTAATTTATGGAGATTTTGACAGTTTCTTTCTGTTATAAAATGTGCACATGGGAGATATCCATATAGAATTGTTCAATATAATCATGTCAAGAACTTTAGTGTGTAACTAAGAGGACAACACAAATGAACATTTGAAAAATCTGTGATATGATGGCAGTATACATCTGAATCCACTTTTTTCTTACCTATGACATGCATCAAAGAAAACATTTATGCTGCAGAAGTACAAGATTTCAAAGAACTTGCTCAATTATGTCCTGGTAGCTGCAACTGACATTAGAGGCCAACCTGGGAAACTAGATCATGTCAAGGGATCCTTTCATTGTCACGGTGAAGCATGCATTTGAGCTGGAAGAGGTAACATTGGGCAGTTCTTCTGAAGAAAAATGTAGAACTCTTTATGAGTCTGCACTATATGAGCAGAATTATATATGATGAATATAATGTAACATTAAAAGTCAAAAAGAGCCAGTAACTTCAGAATTTTTGGTTAACATCCATTATAAGTAAAAGTAATAATTAGAGATGTTAAGTGTAAATAACTAAATATACAAATGAATGATAATAGTTCAGTTTTCTTAAAAAGTGGTAAAATAGCATAACTCGGCAAGGATGATGAATCTAACAGTGTACAAGTATTTGCATTTTCTATTCCAGATTATCTTCCCAACAGCTCCCTAAAGTTTGACCATATGAATCTGAATCACCCTGTATATGCTGGACAGTAGATGTTATCTGTGTTTCAGTTTTGTTCACCACAATGCAGCAATAATGTAGTTAAAATACCAGGGTAGTAATATTGTGCATGTATTCAAATAACAAATTGTTCCATTTGCTGTATGTTATTATTTAGCTGTTGTCTGAAGAGATTAAAGCCAAGCAGGAGATAGCTGCAAAAGCAGAGAAGGAAATCGATGGGGCTAGAAATGAGTACAAGCCTGTATCCAAACATTCATCTATATTATTTTTCTGCATATCTGAACTGGCAAACATAGACCCCATGTATCAGTATTCCCTCATATGGTTCTTACATCTGTACACACAGGTGAGTCATGGCTACATTAGGGAATTACAGTCAGTACTTGACATTAATATAATAATATATTCTCAAGTGTTGAGTATATGTCACGCTACAGATAACTTCATGCCGTCTTGGATGTAGCAAATTTATTGAACACACACTTTCACAATTACATCACTACTGCCATCTGCAGTATCACAAATACTTCTCCTGTAGTCATTTCCATTCACTCGATACAACTCGACTCGGCTACTGCTAGACTGCAACTGACTGGTTACTCCGGTAATTCTCTTGTTATGTAGCTTCCACACTGACAACACAGAAAACAGTTATGTGATAGCTACCACTGTTGCGTAACGTCGTGTTAACATGCGTTGCTGGGGAACACTGCTGAGAGTTGTTTATTGCTGCGTAGTAACCGCAGTGTCCCCTGTTACATCACCTCGGGGGAGGGGGGGGTGGAGCGTTGACTGGCCTGTTATGTTAGCAGCGGCAGTTGCTCCGATGCTGTTACGTCACCGCTGGAAGGGGACGTTTACCGAGCGTTACGCCATCCATGTCACATGTGTATGACATGTTAATGACACATGTGAATGACTGTGTGTAAATAGATTATGTGTGAAAGCATAATACATTAAAGCATGTGACTTTTTTGTACACACAACAGTCAATAATCACTGACTCTGGGGTATGTGAAAGAGACTTTCAAACTGTAGTAACACTAGGAAGATTTACATGATGAACAAGGGACTATGTGGAGTACATTGACCACAGATGCTGATTATCCCACTTATTAACTGCAGCAAAATAAATGATCCACTAACTCTGAATTAACGTTGCTCGTACCTTCCAGTCCTATGTTAGCATGCATATGCTTTTGCAGACATATACATATTAGAACCTTCATAGATCAGTAAAGGTACTCACATACAATTTAAACCTCATAATATTATATCGTAACATTCTGTTGCACATTGCTTATTATTCAACAAATGTCACTGGTTAACCATCTTACATGGTCTAGATGCACAACATAACAGGAGGAGACACCAAGCATTGTAAAATACATGAGCGCATAGATGGAACTACACGTTGAACATTAGGAGCACAAAATGAAAGCACAGCAGTTTCCACCAACAATTTTTAAGCAACTGATGATGACCAAGGTCGGTCAAATAAGGAATGAAATACACATTGTATGTATGTAAGTTTTTGAAGGATGCTTGCACATAGGACAGTGAACCAGTGTCAGTTTGTTGAATAAAAATTTAAACCTCATTTTAGTATTTGCTTTTCCTTTACTTCACTTATTTCCCTGAATTATTAATCCCAACTGTCATTTTTAATTATAAGTTTCTGTTCTTTTCAGTCAATCAGTAACAGTGAAAAGTCACCAGTGTTAAGTGAGCGATTGGAGAGCCTAAACAATCACTTCACTCTCAGCATTTACCGAAATGTATGTCGGTCTCTTTTTGAAAAGGATAAACTAACATTTTCCTTTGTATTGTGCATTGAAATTCTTCGTGCGAAGGTAAGATGCTTATAGTACCCAGATCAATACACAAACTTAAAACATATACTTAGTAGCTATAAATGTTAACATAATTCAATACTATAAACGCCCCTTCTTAGCGCCCTTCCGCTTGCGGCTCCGTCTGAATAGTAGCTATAAATGTTAACATAATTCAATACTATAAACGCCCCTTCTTAGCGCCCTTCCGCTTGCGGCTCCGTCTGAATAGTGGTGCAGGGAGTAGGAGTCGATGGCGATTGGCCCCTCTGCTCCGATGACCACTTTGACGCTGCCCTACCTGGTGTTGCCGCTTCTGAAGTTGCTAGGTCATAGCTGGTTTTGGTTTGACCCAGCTCCACCGCTTCTTCCTTCCATTGAGATTATTGGGGGTTGGATTTCATGATGGGATCTGATAGTATGGGAGCCAGCAAACAGCTAGAGACTGTTTACAATTCTTAGTAAAGGGGGGGAAGGACTGAGCATGTGAAAGCTGATGGTGGGTTTGACTAGCTAGTGGAGATGAGTCTCTCTTCAGGTCGGATACAAGTCAGGCTCAGACAAGTGAGGGTGAAGCACGTCTAATCAACACAATTCACTGTACCACCACAACACTTTATTGTTGTTCTTCTTAGAGACACTTGGCTGTGTAAATTCTCACAATCTGATTTAGTTTCCACTTACAAGCAACTGGTGTTACACTTACACAAAAATGCACTCGATCAGCTCAATTTATAACCCCTCTTATGGATGAAGCTAAATCTCAATATGAGTCGTTATGAGCAAAATTTTATACTTTTTAGAATTATCTTTTAGCACGTGGGATGCAGGGTTTGCCGCCACCAAGTTCGGAAGTTGATAGACGACTAAAATCTTAGACCAAACTCTCTGCTGAGTCAGAGGTCCTAACTGAATTGTATCTGCCTATTCACCTCTCCTCCTAATTTCCCTGATAGACTGATTCAAATAAGGGGAGTTGGCTTAATTTTTGGTTTTGGCCAATGACAGATTGTTTTTAGGGGAATTTCGCCCTAAAAGACAAAACAGCGAAATTGACAGCGATGCAACTTATGAGGGATCACTAATGATCTCCTAGCACTCCCACTTTTGACTTACGGCTGGTAGAAACTGTCACTTCTCGAATTTTCAAAGTGGCTTGCTGCTGTAAGTCTAATTCTCAATTTCTAAAGAAACTCAGTATGGTTTCTTGAAGTATCATTTTCTGCCCTTTTGGAAAATAACACCAGATGCTTGGACACTAGGACTAGCAGATGTCCTTGTCCGCGCAGGTTTGGTCTATCTGCTCATCTCCTATTCCTTGTTCTTAAAGTGTATCTTAAACCTTTGTTTCTTCATAAATTCTTATTATTAACTCCATCAGCTACTGAAGTAAAAAAAGGGGGGGGGAAGTATTTCAATGGTGCGGTTACAATACTCACATAAAAATTTCGCTTGTCACATACCTAATGTTATGCTAGAAATTACAAAATTTCTATCAATACATACAGTATATAATAACTTCCATTCACTATTTTTAAATGTAGTCGATTAGGCACTAAGAATTTTTCAAATATCGATGTACATGTATTCATTGAACAGTGTATTGTTTGAGCATTATAATTAAATTTTAAAGAAGAGAGACCCATGAGATAACCCTGGACAAGATGGTTCAGACAGGTACTAGAAAGGATCAGTAAGAGATGAAGGTGCTGGCAAGATATAGGAGAAAAAATAATTCTGGGAGGATTGAATAGATTGGAGACTTTTTTTCCATTGACCTATATAGGACAGAAACCATTTTAGAAGAAATAAGATTTAATGGGCTAATATTTCATAGAATTATTCTGTATTACAGTCCTCTTATGTAAATCACATATATGCTTTATTTAATTATTCAGTGATTGATTCACTATTTTTAAATGTAATTGATTAGGCACTAAGAATTTTTCAAGGTGATTTCATTGTATATGAATAACACATGCTATAGCAACAGTGAACCATAGTCATAAAGATTGTTTCTGGCTTCACTCGGCTGGACTGATGTTCCTGTTTTGTGTCAGTTGTGAATAAGTACTTTCTCTATACATATGTACATTGCAGCTGCCACATCATTTATATAAGTGGTTTAAGACAAATTTGCTTTCAATAAATATTAATAAAACTCATAGTATGCCGTTTAAAACCAAAAATAAACTCACAACTGACGTAGATATTGTTTGTAACAATCGTCCAGTAACCACTGTGTCAAATATTAAGTTTCTTGGTATTAAGATGCTAGGTATAATTCGCAGTATCACATTTAACTATTCAACCCTTGGATGCATGTTCATTTTATATTTTACTTTAGTTAGATCCAAGGTTGAATACGCTTCAGTAGTTTGGAATTCCATTACGTCAACTGATGCAAACAAACTAGAACGCATTCAGCAGAAATTTACGGCTCTCTGTTTTAAACGTTTTTTTCCTCAAGTAGATTACTGTTACGATTTTGCTTTAGAACAATTGAAATTGCACACCTTGCATAAGAGGAGATATCACCTTGATGCGCTCTTCCTTATTCAAGTTTATCGTGGTTCTGTATTTTGCCCTTCTGCTTTGGAAATTGTCGGCCTTCGGGTCCCTGTTCTATATATCCGAGATTTTCATATGTTCAATGTCTGTTCTGTTAGTAAAAATTGCCCCTCTGCTAGATGCGCTTCTGCTGCTAATGTTGTCTGTAGAAACGTTGACGTCTTTGGACCAAAAACTCTGTTGATGAAACATATCNGGAATGTATAATCCCAAAACTTACCTCAGCATGTTATATGATGAGAAGTATTAAACCATACTTGCCTCTAAAAACTTTGAAAACAATTTACTACTCTTATTTTGGCTCTGTTATGAACTATGGTCTTTGCTTTTGGGGAGTCTCGCCTCATAGTATAAAAGTATTTAGAATGCAGAAGAAGATAATTAGAATTATGATCGGCTGTAATAGTAGAGTTTCATGTAGAGATCTCTTTCGGAAATTGGAAATTTTGCCTTTGGCTTCACAGTATATTTTTTCACTCATGCTCTTTGTGGTTAATAATAAAAGTCTCTTTATTCCAAATTCACTAAATCATAATATAAATACAAGACATATTACAAATTTCTATCAACCCATAGCAAATTTTACGGTATATCAAAAGGGAGTGTATTATATGGGCATAAAAATTTATAATAATCTTCCTTCTTATATAAAAGAAGAGTCACTCAACCCTAAGAAGTTCAAAATTTGTTTAAAGCGTTTTCTTTATCTTCATCATTTTTATTCTGTGGAAGAATATTTCCAATATAAATCATTATAAGTTAATGATTATGCATTCACTAGAATCACCTGTAGATCATCCAATCTTTTATTAGTATTATTCTAGTCATTATTCTATTATTCTAGTCTAGTCATTTAAGCAATTTCTGTGATATGTTCAAACTGACATTGTTTAAATTTAAACTGCATGTTTTATTAAATTAACTTATATGACTGGAATCTATTTGATTCTACATGTTTTGTTTCAATTTTTGTATTTTATACTTTTTTATTTATGTACTTAGTTCTTGCTCTATTAATTCTAAGAATAATCACTGTATGGACATGTCCTATATCTCACTTGTATTGTGGATCCATGGAACGAAAAATAAATGAATGAATGAATGAATGAACATCATGAAATGGCTGATATTACAGAAGAACTGTGCATCATGTCCTATATGAAACTTGGTAACCTGGTCACAGGAATCTATGAAGTGCCTAAATCTGCATTTAGAAGAAAACTCTTAGCCGTACTATGACATAAGTGGTTTGCTTGAAATGAAATTGGCACAAATTTGATTGCAGATGATCCAGTTCTGGCTGTCTGACATTATTGCACACTAGGGAAAATATTTGTTCCTGCCTACTGAAAAATTCATATTGACAGACAGAAGAAGAGGCTTATGTTTTATTTGGATATTCTGTAATACCTAAGATGTAGAATTTTATAAGAATGACTGGGAAAATGGGGGATAGGGTCAAGGATGTTACGTATTGATTATGTGCTGACTTACTTGATTCTTGTCATAAGAGTCTTCTTGATAAATATTACATTTCAGTGGTTTTGCACCTACCTTATTCACTAAATTTAGAACCTTGTGGCTATTTCCTCCCCCAAACATCAAAAGTATCCAAAAAGTGACAGGATCACTGAAACTATTGTATTCACAAAGAAAACAAATGAAGAGGTATGAGGAATGTGATATCATTATAGTCTGGCACAAAATTGTCTGCAACCATTTATCACCATGAGAACCTCAAATCTCATGCATGCAATTATGATTTACTTTATTGTCAAAGCAGAAACATCAGTCCCAGACTTTTGTGATCTGTTCTCATATTGACAATTGCACAGTTTTTTAAAGATGTTATTAACCATCTTCATGGAGCGGAGTCCTTGAAAGGTGTTTATCCAACCAAGATCTACCCTCTCTTTTATGAAACATGAGGGTTTATTACCATGTTGACAAGGACCCACCACTGCACCCTATCAGTTAATTCAATCCACACTTCATTCCTGTAAGGTGGTGTTAAGATGAAATGAATAATATATTCTTTAGCATCATGTTGTTCTAGTCAATATGTTTGAGAAAAAAAAAATATATATGTAGGAAACAGTTCTTCTTGGTATACAGTAATACACTGAGTTGTGCAACATTGTTGTCAGTGAACCTTGACTCAGGCCTACCATTGCCTACATTAATGTTTTTAGCATTAATTTAATTCAACCCCTAAAGCAAGGACATTTTTCAATAAAACTTAGAAATAAATTCCAACATTGTAAGACTTGTAATGTGCAGCCTTGATGGTTTCTATATTCTGATTCAAGTTATTCATAGAGTCTTTGGATGCATGACTGTTTGTAATATATCTGTGGATCCAAAATAGATTTAGTTTGAGTAGTAATTAGGCTAAGTTTGTGACTGATGATTTTTCATAGTACATTTAAACATGGCAATGTAGAATATTTCTGTTTCTTTCTTCAGAAACAAATTGATGAAGATGAGTGGACATTTCTTCTCACTGGAGGCATAACATCAGATAATCCACACCCAAATCCTGCACCAGATTGGTTGTCAGATAAGTCCTGGTCTGAAGTTGTTCGTGCATCTGATTTGACATCGTTAGTATTCTACACAGTTTCACCCTAATTTTCTGGCAAAATTTTTATTCCTAGTCTGCTAATTCATTTCATTCCTAAAGCTAATTGTCTTTATAGTGACATAATTACTATTTCATGGTTATGGTGCTATTCACAAAACTTAACATGATTTTTTACTGTTTCCTGTACATCGTGTATTCAAGAAAGTATTGTGATCATAAAAAAATAGATCTGAATGCTTTGACATTTGTAGGTTTTGAGCATCCCTGAATACAAAAAGTTGCTGTTGGAATACCACCTCTCTGTCTGTCTGCACGGATGTGCATTTAGCAAGTGCTTGAACAGTTGGACACAATTTATTCATATTCATTATGTAAGAGTTATCTCTAATAGGCCATTGCCTAGTGAATATGAGTATGTATTTTAGCTCCAAAAGTAGGGTCCTTTCAAGGAAAAAAATTTAGATTTTTTCAAAAATGGCTCAAGCAATTTTGATTTCATTTTTGTAATTTATATAAACCATCTCCATAAATAAGAGTACAGAGATCATTCCATTGGGTTCTGCCAAGAAATAAATTCTTTCATTTCCAAGGTAAAATAACCCAGGTCAATCATACATGAGAAAGTGTCCAACGTCTGATTTTTTAATAATGAAAATGCCTGACTTGACAGGATTTCCATACTGCATAAGTATCCAGCTTTGAGAAGGTATGCTGCAGTCTTCAAATTGCTTTTGTGAGTGGCACACCAATTGCCCTCCAAGCAGACCTGATCAGTTGATGCCTGTTGCCCAGTCTGCGATGGACAAAACCATTGCTGGTCATGTTTCCTCAGTACTCTATCATGTTTTTCTATCATCCATCAATCTAATCTCCCTGTTCTAGCCTCAGATGTGTTTGACACATCACAAGTATATCATCTGTATAAATAAAAATGTAAATGTTCGTTTGTTCAAATTCTTAAATCCCCGAAAGTTCTTCACCGATTGCTTTGAAATTTTGACACAACGTTGCATTCAAATATGCGCATGTTTTTATATGCCTATTATATAGATGTCACACCTGTGACAGGTAAAAATATGCCTCTTTTGAAAAACGGCGCCATCTGTCGGACGTAAAAATAACACACGCAATACTAAATATTTTACGATTCCATTTCACTGTTTCTGATTGCATTGTTAAATTGGATTTTCATAGATTTCGATTTATTTTCATTTTGATTTAATTATTTTGTGTGACATTGCATTGGAATTGAGCTGTGTCATTTACCATAGTGTTCATTTCGTGAGTATAGTTTATTTTTTTCTTCTTTCATTGTTTTTCATTTCGTTTTCTTAACTGTTTTCCTTATTTTTCAGTGCAATTGACGGTGGAATTGAGCTGTGTCGATTGATCTGCATTTGAATTGAAATATTTCGTTAGTATTTTTTTTTTGTTTCTTCTTTGTTTTCCGGTTTGTGTTCTTTCCTTTTTTAATGTTTTGCAATTTTATATGTTTTTGTTATAACTTTCTTTCTTCTTCTTCAGTGCAATCAATCTGCTTTAGTTCATCCAAATAATGCCTCGCAGAAGATCAAATTTAGGTCATCGTACTCACTGAGCAGAAGCAGTGCGACAAGTAATTGCAAATTGAACTTGGGCAGAACGGGCATCAGCAAATGAGCGAAACAGGCAAAGAATGGCTCAAATATGTGCCAAGGAAGCAGCAGAGCGACGTGCAGCCAAGACTTGAGGATGCACGGTTGCGAGCAGGGTGATCGCGTTCTGCAGCTTCAGATCTGCTTCGTTCTCAACAGAATGAATGTGACAGGCTAAGAGTGGCTGAAAGACATCAACGAGAAACAGCAGATCGGCTTCAAACACGACTCCATGCTCAGCAATCACGAGATTACAGTCGCCTTGCATTCCGGTACGGCCCAGCTGAGAATTATAGTTTGAGCCGGCATGTTCTCATCGGCACTATGACTGAAGTGTGTCCTTATTTCAAGGCTCTGAAATTTAATGGAGAAATGAAAGGAATTGGCATTTGCAATCGCCATCAACAAAGCTCAGGGCCAGTCTTTAGAATTGTGCGGTTTAGATCTAGACACGGATTGCTTCTCACATGGACAATTATATGTTGCGTGTTCTAGAGTCGGCGAACTAGACAATCTCTATATCTGCACAGACAATGGAACAACAAAAGCTATTGTATACCCACAAGCATTGTGAAATTAAACATATTAGAAACGTGCGCTTTCTCTTTTCTTTCTTTTCCATTTAACCAGACTGAGCCACAGCAACGCGTGGCCGGGTACAGCTAGTAATTAATAAATTACAAATAAATCAGTTAGTTCCATGGTAATAACTCACATTTGAGATGGCTATAATAGAATGACCAGATCGTGCACCGAAAATATTTTTTGTTTTATATGTGGCACTCAGCAACCACACATTTGCAACTGATATTGACAGTCCATCCTCTTGGGAAGATGTTTTGTACTCCTGGCACAAACAAATTTCTTGCAGTAATTTGCTGTTCCTACTCAATTTTTCAAAATGGATTTGTGTTTCCTCCATTTTTCAAAATACAGCAGAAATGTGTTATAAAAGAAACTAACTGCTTCATTGAATTCTTTATTGCTATGATAATCTTCAAAATCTGATGACAGTGACATAAGGTATGAGGTGTGATAACTTTCATCATCTTATTTTTTTTTATCATTTTCTTCTCTGAAATGTCAAGTTCTTCACCTACTTCACAACCTGAAATATTGTCAGTTCATTTTCTTTAATTGCAGAAAGCTCTTAATTGACTCATTGAGAAATAAAACAGAAATTGGATGTCTGGTCACCCTAAGCTATAAAGTGTGCTGTTCTTAAACTAAGTTTATAGTTTCTTCATGACAGTGTGACATATTATTTAAGACTATTATTACGGACATTTTCCATTGCCCCAGTTTAATAAAACCTCTATGTATTGAAATCTAGTTCTGTGTCTATCTTCAGACGAACATGATCTGACTGTGGTTTAAGATTAGCTTTATCCTTAGACCCAGTGGATCGGTTTTCCTTTCAGGCCCTATTCATCAGAGCCAGTTCTTAAGCTGCAGTGCTCTTAACAATGTGAGATGATGGACAAAGTCCAAAATAATAATCTTACTTTTTTTCAAAAGTCATGATATTCTGTTAGCTACACTTTGGGGCTTGAGTCAAAATGCTGAAAATGATAATTCTAATCCTGTTTGTAAGGCTTAAAGAACTGAAGACCTCAATCAAGAGCAATATTACTGCTTGGAAAGCATATTACAATGCCATCAGTCCTCAAGATGCCAAGTGTCCAACACCTTTTGACACAGTTCAAGATCTTACCAAACTTGTGGTGTTACGGTGTTTACGTCCAGACAAGATTGTGCCTGCTGTTCAGGTATTTGGAACTCATGTTGTCTTATGTTTTGGAGAGAAATGAAACAAAGAATTTCTTAAATATGTAGATACCTGTAAATTCCATGATGAGTATTGCCTGTGATGGATTTAGTAGTCACTCAGTCAGTCAGTAGGTATGTGGTGCATAAATTTTAAAATGACAGAAATGAAAGGAATACTGAAGTGTTCCAAGATCTTCTATCTCTCCCATCAGAGGTGTGATCCTAGATAGAGTGAAGATGAATTAGAATGTAATATTGCATTTTTTAAATATAAAGCAAGAACGTGTAAAATTTTATTACAGTATGTACATTGTGATAATGATCATTACCCATTATCTGGAGTTTAGTTTGTCTAGAATATTTCAGAAGCTGGCCTTATCTATTTGGGTATGAATATTGATATGAGAGGAACAACTTACAGTCACCCCAAACACTCAGAGCTCTATTGGATCCACTGTACATGCTCAGTGTTCCTTGGGCTCTTTAAGAGGCTCAACTACAGCTGGAGTAAAAGCTCTCTTAATATCCATCAGTTCTGCCCCTGCAGAGTTAAAAGTCATGAATCTATGCCTAATTAAATGACACAGTGACATACTATCTTATTTTCTTGAACTGCTGGCAGTGGGGTATCCTAGCTGCCCTTTGTCATTCACTGACAGGGACAGCTGAGCCTCCACCACTGATCCCAGCTGGATCTGCAACACAGCTCCAGCCAAGCCCTCAGTTCTACTGAGAAGAGGCTTTCTCTTCCTGGCCTACTTCTTCTGCTGGTCACATCTTTTATTCTCCTTCACAGACAGGCTGCTCACAACCTTCAGGAAACCTCTTTCAGGCTTATCCTCATGGGCCCTTCATTACAGCTTCTGAGAGATCATACCTACTTCTTCTCAGCAGCAACGGAAGCCAACAACTGGGCCCTCCAATGAGAGAGGAGAACCTTCTCTCAGATATCTGTGGCCACCGACTCTCATTTATTCACAGGTATAGCAGAGCATTCACCACTGGTCCCTGCTGGACCTATGTCTGAGCTCCAGCCAAGGCCTCAGTTTATTTGAAAAGAACAACCCTTTACCTAGCCCACTTCTTCCCTTGTCTGTCAAATTTTTTGTAGTAGGTTATTTACCCCTATCAAGTGACCTCTTACAGACTTGGCCTCAGTAGACCCTCAGCAGGGTGCCTGAGAGATTTGACTGTCTCTTGATGCAGTAGAAGAGCACTTGATCTAGCACCTTAGCCGTTCAGATCAAGGAGAGAAATCTCACAGATCACCAAGAGCTGGGACAGCTGAGCCATAACTGAGGACCATCCAAGGCTTCAGCCACCAAGAATGTAACCCCGCCCAGCCCACTTCCTCAGCTAACCTGTCCATTTCTAGCTCTTGATGGTCAGATTACTCACTGTAATCAAAAGACCTCTTTCACCCTGACTCTTGGTAGAATGTTTACCAGAACCTGAGAGTGTTGTTCTCCATGACAGCAGAAGACCCAGCCACTGTGCCCTCTGATGCAGGGAATGGAAGATCAGTATCCTATTTAGAGGGTCCCAGACTGCAAGTTATGTGCCCACCAAACCTGACAAGTACTAAGAGGCCAATACTGAAGTGGTGAAGCTCTTGGTTGTTATGAACTCTGAAAACTTTTCTTTCTCTTGAACTACTGAGACCGAGATATCTCCACCCGCCCTCTGTCTTATGCCGATAAGGATAGCAAGGTCCTGCCGCTGGTCCCAGTTGGACATACATGTGAGCTCTGAGTTTCTCTTAGAAAACAATGCTAAACTTAACCTTCTTTGATAGTTTCTCCCATTCATTTTCTTGGGCAGATTTGTTACCCTTGTTGGAAGTCCTCTGTCTGTTTCTTGCTCAGTGGACCCTTATCTTCAGCTTACTGAGCATGATAACAAAGGCTTACTATCATTAACAGGCCACACTGAGTAGGTATTTCCTCTCCATCCTTGACTTCTTATGAAGATGGAAGCAGTCAGCTCTGAAACCTTGTAGAGATAACAAACACCAGACATGGATTCACTCATTCATTCATTTCCTTTATTTTCCATATATCCATACAGGTAACAAACCTAGGATGTGGAAATGGTCCCTTTGAAAATAGATATATCAAGATACATATACAAAATTACATGAGTCACATAATCAGTGATGGTCAGGGGATCAGATGTGAAACTGAATGATAAGATTTTATTGAATGTCCGGAGACCATTCTTATATCATTATATTACATCCCTAGTAACTCTAAGTGTTGTAACAAAGAAAACTGAGTGCACCTGAAATTAATAATAAAGTTACAGTACTTACAGCTGTGTGAGATCACATTAACGATAAGAACTAAAGCTGAAGCTTAATGGAGTTCCTCAAAGAAATTATGTCATTATGTATGTGTATAAAAAAAATATTCAGTAATCCAATGTATTTAATTCTTTTCAGTACCACATAGCACAGCACATGGGTAAAACCTATATAGAGCCTCCACCCTTTGATCTGCTGGACTCTTACAAGGACTCCAATTGCTGCTCTCCTCTTATCATAATCCTCTCCCCTGGTGCTGACCCAATGGCAGGATTGCTGAAGTTTGCTGGAGACCAAGATTATAAGGCTAGACAGCTGCAAACATTATCACTTGGACAAGGCCAGGTATGGCTTAAAGCATAGCCTTGTTCTACAGACTAGGCAATAATTGGTAGGCTGTTTGATTAAAGTTATATAACACTTGCAGGATATACATCAGGTCAAAGATAATAAGGAAAAGGAAATAAAATATTTAGTATGATTGTGCCACCTATGAACATAGAACTTTAAAATTATATGCAGTAGGAATTCGTTGTTGGTCAGATCAAATAGTAACGCACATAGCGTCATTGGCCTAATTGGTTCACTGACAAGGAAGCGGTTAACTTTGGCATCCAGTGGACTTCCAGGCTTTTCATGATTTTAGGCATATGTCATGAAATGCATATGCTATCAGATATTTTGTAGCTTTTAACAAATATGAGAAAATTGTATAATTATTGAATTTGATATATTAAATGCTTTCCGCATTGTAAATTCATAATTAACTTTAAGCAAAGTGCAAAGTAAAGATTAACTGAACAGAGAAGATGAAATTTAATATAATGAGGAATTTTATGATTTTCACTCTTCTGAGTATTTTTGGGTATTTGCTTTAAGGAATTTGATTGGCTGGACATGTAGGTCATACAAAATTATAGTGTGGAGACCTCTTTCAAAGTGGTGACTACTGAGACTGTGATGAAAGTTAGAATATGATATTAAAATGGATCTGAAATATGTATGTTTAAAGAGAGTGGATTGTTTGTGATCAGTCTAGTGGTGACTGGTTGTATGTTATTTAACAAAACATGACATTGTTTTGGTTATATAACATCGATTTTGTTGAAGATATTATTATGTGCACTGAACTGGATATGGGAAGGAAACAGGCATGTTTCAAGGTTCTGCCCCTTTATTCAGCTGGAGAGAACAAAAAAAAACGTAGACAACCTCAGTTAGAGAAGTCCATATCTTAATCAGTACCTAAGTCAGGTGGCTGCTACACACAGATCAGAAATGTTACTGTGTGTGTTAAATTCTTGTGGGCTTTTGTATTATGAGCTTTGAGTCTTCAAGTTCTACTATGAGAAAGATATCTAGTCAGTTACTTAGTTATTGCCATGACATCTCTGTAGTTCCATATTAATATACCCAAGAATCACACTGTTTGGATACATGTCTCCCTTATTTTAATCTGTATCCTGAAATGCTTGTTATATTTTACAAACTCAAACCTCAGAAGTTCTTCCTCAGTAGTATGCTTGGAAAAGTGATGTGGCTTTGTTGTTATATCAGCCTACATGGAACTTCTTAGAGGGGGCAGGAATTTTGATATGCCTTTGAAGCCATTACTGAACTGGTTCAAAATAGGTAGTAAGTACAAGGTCCAACAATTTAATTCCCAGAATGGTCACAGAAAACTCATGTACCCAAGCACATTTGGACACGTTCCAACTTGCGTTTATATGAGCCACAGAGCTAATGAGTCATTTATTCCCAAGCAGCAGAGGAAGTAGTACGTGTCCGTGGTATACTGTTTGCCAGAAAAATGAGTGACGAGAATCTGGAGCAGCAGATATACATCAAATTTAATGTGACAATTGGTAAAAGTGCTAGTGAAAAGTTAGCCCTATTAACAGTGGCTTATGGTGAATGTGCTATGAAGAAATGAGTGTTTTTGAATGGCACAGACAGTTCAAGGAAGGCAAGAAATGTGCAAGATGACCCAAGAAGTGGGCAGCCAAAAATGCAAAGGACAGCTGCAAATGTGGACAGAGTATGAACCTTGGTGCACTCAGATTGAAGATTAATAATAATAGCAGAAGAATTTAATATGAAGAAGGAAACAGTGCAACAGATTATTACAGAGGATTTGGGAATGAGAAAAATGTCCGCAAAGATAGTGCCTCAGATCTTGACAAATGACCAGAAACATCAGCTTCGCATTTCATCTGATGTTTTATGCAATGCAGAGATGTTTGATAGGGTCATTACCGGTGATAAAACTCGTTGTTTTCGATATGACTTGGAAACAAAATGCCAGAGCATGCTGTGAAAACACAGAATTCACCTCGGCCGAAAAAACTCTTATATCTCGCTCCAGTTAAAGACCATGCTTGTGTGTATCTTTGATCACAAGGGATAGTTCACTATGAATTCATTGCACAGGACAAATGGTGAATCAACAGTGTTATTTTGAAGTGCTAACAAGGTTACTGGAATCTGTTTGGAGGAAAATACCCAAACTCTGGCCTGACAAGTGGATTCTCCACTATGACAGTGCTCCTGTGCATGATATATTAAGGGTTTATAAGTTTCTGGCTAAGAAATCCATTACAAAAATGGACTGTCCACCTTATTTACCTGACTTAGCCCCCTGTGATTTTTGGAACTTTCCAAAATTAAAAAATGCCCTAAAGGGACAGAGATTTGCTGACATTACTAACATCCAGTGCAACATGACAATGTTACTGCAAGGTATTGCAGAAAATGATTTTCAAGGTTGTTTCTGGCAGTGGTACCATTGTCTCTCAAAATGCTTAACTCCACAAGGAGACTATTTTGAAGGTGACAGCAGCTGCTACTGCACATATAAGCAAATTTTGCTTTCATGGGACCATTCCAGGAATTAAATTGTCACACCTTTTACTCCAAAGAAAGAAGGAAATTGTGAAGAGGATGGTAGGAAATTTATTTAATAAATGTTTTTGGCATGGTGGGTTGAAGATGAAGGGGACCTATGGCAAACACTAGGTCTTCGTATTGATTGAGCAATGATCATAGCTCAATCAATACGAAGACACACACACGTCCAACATTACAACACCCACAGCCAAAAAGGGAACACGCATCACGAGACACGATACACATGGCATATAAGAGGAACGACTCCCATAGTGGAGGAACCATGCGCGGGTTTTGAATTGGGACAGATAAGATGAATATCTTAACAAGATTTTAGTATACAAAATATTTATTATAACTGACGAATATTTTAAAATACTTTTTAAATAATTTTACATTGACATAATGGCATGCAGTGCAATAGATTAGTGTAAATGGAGCACCTGATGATGGCACTATGGTGCCGAAACATGTTGTGAAGTGACAGGTAAAAGTGGATGCACTGCAAGACGGACACTGTATATATATCATGGATGAAAATCAGCGCAACAGGACGCTAAAATACAACATTATAACAATTACCAATGTCATTAGAAGCTCCATTTTCATCTTAGTGTATATTTAGCCTGCATTTTAGCTGTAGTCATTCTCACTGAAATTAATATTTGATAAATGCTGCTGTAACCTCTGTTATTCATGTTTTAACTGTTATAGTGGCATCACTTTTAATGTACTACTTAACCCCAAAGAAAGTAGTCTGAGGTAATGAGACTGGGTAAACTTGGAACCCAAGAATCAGTCCTCCTCTACCCATCCTTTCATTTAGAAGCCAGACATTCAGTGATTGTTGCATCATCTTCAGTAATATGTTTTGTCATACTTGTATATATATAGTGTGACATGTTGCGAAATCCGAGGCCCCCCCCCACACCAGCAGTGAAGCGGTGGGTGAGTCAGCGCTCCCCTCCCACCCCTCAGCGGTAACGTAACGCTCGCGGTAATAGGCGAGTAATCACCCCGCAATGCGCAACGCGCGGTGACGTCACGAGCGGAGCCGAAGAGAGCCGAGCGGAGCCGAAGATAGCCGAGCCCCGTAACCTGGCAACTACGCAATGCTAATCAACAGCGGTGA